GCCTGTGGCTGAGGAGTCCAGTCTGCCACACGAAGCAGGCTGGCACAGCGAGGGCCTGGCGCGGAGCTACAGGGAGGAGTGGCAGGGGTGATGGGTTTTGCTTCTTATGCCTTTGAGCCCACAGCACCTAATGGGACAGCTCATCTCCCTTTACCTGCATCTCCCCTCCCACCCCCCTGGCTGATCTCTCTCCCCACGCCTGAGGGCCTGCACCCAGGGATCACGCTTACCTGAGCATGCCTCCACACATACACACACACACACACACACACACACACACACACACACGCACGCACGCACACACACATGCCTGCGGCTCCCATCTCCCCCAACAGACCCACCTTTGCACAAGGCTCCTGCTGGGTCCCTGCAGTCCAGTGCCCTGGCACAGCATCCCACACGCTCTCCTCCCGCCCTGCCTGGCAGAGGGCTGTGACCTGGCATCCCGGAGGCTGGACCTTCCGCTGGCTGCTGGGAGTGGCTCAGGGGTGGCCCCAGGCTCCAGCCACCCACAGGAGCCTGGGATTGTGGGGATGTTCACTCAGGCTCCCTGGGGAGGGCTCTCCTGCTGCCCCCTGCTCCTCCCCATGCAACAGGCTCTGGCTCATGGCGGGCAGATGAGCGGTCTCACGCTCAGCAGGCTGGGTACGGATTCATATTCAGATCAGGGTAAGCATCTGCTTTAGCCAGATGGGTAGCATGAGCAGGTCCCTGACCTCCCTGAGTCTGTTCACTCTCCTTTAATATGACGATGCTATGGGGTTGGGGGTATTGAGGAAGCTACTTCACACTCCATTTTACAGATGGGGAAACAGAAGCAGAGTGGAGAAGGGACTTGGCTCCTGAGCAGCGGGGCTGGAATTTGAAGCCAGGCAGTCTACCCCCACCCCCACCCTCACCCCAGTCCACAGAACTCCACTCTCCGCTACTCCACGTACTTTTGGCAGCCACAGGCCCAGTTACTTGAGACACTGCATTACTCTTTGCCTGCCCCACACCAGTCTGGGCCCTGCTTCAGACCCGTGGTAGCTGAGGGTCTTCGTACAGACCCAGACACACAGACACTCAGCTCCCCCCGAGGGGCGCCAGGGAAGCTTGGCCTGGGAGGAGGCAGGCGGGGAGACCAGGAGGGGCCGTGCAGGAGGTAAAGGCCAGGTGCCTGCTTGGTCACTGCCAGAGGGAATGCCAACGTCCACCACTGCTGCCAGGCTGTCTGGATGCTGATGTGGGCCTGTGGCAATGCCAGCCAGCCAGGGGCCTCGGGCCAGCTTGGTGCTGCTCAGGTCCAGGGCTGAGCCCAGTTGGGCTGCCGCAGACCCTCACTGCAACCACCCCTACCCCTAGCACAGCTAGTCCTCTCGGCTCTTCCCCAGCCCCTCACAGGCAGGGCGGGCCTGCGAGCCCATGGATCACTGGGGGCTGACGGAGCTCCTGATGGAGCCCAGGCCTGGGCTACCCTTCGCACCCAGGCTTGAGGGGACACAGCTCAGCCTCTGGACAGAGGAGCAACTGGGAGGGCCAGAGCTAGAAGCCCAGGGCAAGGGGACAGCTGCAGTGTTAAAAGTAGAATGAGTTGCCGAAACCGGTTTGGCTCAGTGGATAGAGGGTCAGCCTGCAGACTGAAAGGTCCCAGGTTCGATTCTGGTCAGGGGCATGTACCTTGGTTTCGGACACATCCCAGTGGGGAGGGGGGGTGAAGAGGGGGTGGGAGGCAGCTGGTCGATGTTTCTCTCTCATCAGTGTTTCTAACTCCCTATCCCTCTCCCTTCCTCTCTGTAAAAAATCAATAAAATATATTTTAAAAATAAATAAATGAATAAAAAGTGGAAGCCAGAAGCCCAGGAAGTGCATCACCTAAAAGGACACAGCCCGTGCCCTGGCCTCCAGCCACCTGCTCCTGGAAGCGCCGCCTGGCAGGGTGGGAATCCGGGGAGAAGAGCGTGAAGGGCGGCCAGGCGCCTTCCGAACCTGCAGCTGTGCTAACGCCTCCTCAGGCCACCCTCTCCACCCTCCTGTGGCAGCCCCCTCCCTGAGCCAGAGCCCCTGGGACACCTTCCCAGCAGCCCCAGGCACTGGCTCTGTGCAAAGCGGCACTGGAGTAACTCCCTCTCCTCACGCGCCTCTCAGTCTACTAACCCTGTATGCAGGATGACATTGGGGTACCCTCCGGAAGTGTGCATAAGACAGGAATGTACAATGTAACAAATCCCTGTAAAGCGATTGCCTGTGCAGCTGGCACAGAGGCCAAGAGACAGAGCACAGCCAGCTCCCCGGAAGCGCCCCTCACACCCTCCCCTTTCCTGCCAGGGCAGCCACATTTGCGCGTGTGGCTGTTTCCTTGCCTTCTTACTCCACTTTATCCTGCTTTGTGGCCGCATTGGAGACCTTCCAGAGAAAGTCTGAGTGGGCCTGGTACTGTTACACGATGACAACAGCGGGGACACACCTAGATGGCGGGCTGGGAATCCCACTGTTGAGCAGGGCTTGGGGGCTTTCTCCTGGACCAAGCCACAGCCAAGCGCTTTGGTCTCAAATCCTGAGGGCCCACGCCTCCGTCCCTGGGACTCCCGGTGGGTGTGGAAGTCCTGACCTCTCTCCTCCAGATTCCTCCTTTTGGCCCAGATGGCTGCTTTGAAGATGGCGAAACACTGTGCAAATGAGGGAGTGCTACTGTTATTAGACAATGAGTAAGTTCCTACTGTGTGCTAGGCCCTGTACTGAGCACTTCACATGCATTTGCTCATTTAATGCTCATAACCCCCAAGGAGGTAGGAACTATTATTATCATCCCCATTTTACACATGTGAAAACAGGCCCAGAGACATAAATCAGCTTCTGTGTGGCAGAGAATTTCCCTGACTCCATGGCCCAGGCTCTTACCTGCTCCTGTACCTAACTTTACATTATACCCTTTCCACACAGTGGAATGTCCATTGGGAGAATGTTGTTTCTTTAAAAATATATTTTATTGATTTTTTTTTTTTTTTTTTTTTTTTTTTTTTGCAGAGGAAGGGAGAGAGAGATAGAGAGTTAGAAACATCAACGAGAGAGAAACATTGATCAGCTGCCTCCTGCACACCCCCTACTGTGGATGTACCCACAACCAAGGTACATGCCCTTGACCGGAATCAAACCTGGGACCCTTGGGGTCTGCAGGCTGACGCTCTATCCATTGAGCCAAACTGGGTAGGGCTGGAAGAATGTTTTTATTATTTATTTACTTATTTAAAAAATAGATATTTTTAAAAAATATATTTTATTGAATTTTTTTTATAGAGAGGAAGAGAGAGGTATAGAGAGTTAGAAACATCGATGAGAGAGAATCATCAATCAGCTGCCTCTTGCACACCCCCTACTGGGGATGTGCCCGCAACCAAGGTACATGCCCTTGACTGGAGGCCGACGCTCTATCCACTGAGCCAAACCGGTTTCAGCTAAAAATATTTTTTTTATTGATTTCAAAGAGGAAGAGAGATAAAGTAGAAACATCAATGATGAGAGAAAGAATAATCAATTGGCTGCCTCCTGTAGGCCCCACTATGGGAATGGAGCCTGCAACCCAGGAATGTGCCCTGACCGGGAGGGAATCAAACCGTGTCCTCCTGGTTCATAGGTCGATGCTCAACCACTGAGTCATGCTGGCTGGTTAGAAGAATGTTTTTAAATAAAAATTTTTTTTGTCATTGCGAATTAGACTTTCAAGAATGGGCAGCTGGAAAGAGGCCTGAGTCCAGGACTCCTGGAGATGGGATTGGCAGAAGGGATGACAGCTGGAGAGAGGCATGCTGGCTCCCCAGGCCTCCTGGGGACAAGCCTGGGGTCTTTAACAGGAATCCAGGGTGAGTCATAGGGGTTGTGGCTGCCAGAGATGCTAATGCAAAGGAAGAGAGCGAGGACTGGGGAGGCGAGGACTGGGGAGGCGGCTGAATCCCCCAGAGAAGTTCTGGGCCTACCCTGGGCTGCACTGGGGAAGGTTCCCTGAAGGGCAAGCCCTAGGATGGGTTGGGAGCCCTGAACCTTTCAGATTCTTGGGAGATGGATAGTCAACAAATAAACCAATGAACAGAGAGGATAGAATTTTAGAGTTAAGTGCAATTTCGAAAGTGAGGTGGGAAGGGTAATGTGATGAGATGCAGAGCATTCTAGGGGGATGGCCTGGAAGAGGGACCCCCTCCACTCTGTTGAATGGATAAAAGGTCCCCTAGGGGAAGGAGCCCAGGCCGGCCGGCCGCACTAATGTTAGAGTCAGCACTTGCTTCAAGCCAGCCTCCTACTAAATATACTTTAAGGGGATCATCTCACTGGAAACGCCAGCTCCGCGAGGAAGGTTTGGTCAGCTCCATTTTTAGAGGAGAGGAGGCTCAGGAAGGCCCAGGTGCGTTCCCAAGGTCGCTCAGCCCGGAAGATGCAGAGGGAGCGGTGAGCTGAGCTCAAGTTTCAAATCCAATGAATGGGAAGGGCTGCAGCCCCGGAGGCTCCAGCCTAGGTGTCTGCAGGGAGGGCCAGCATCTTCTGGTTCCCCAAGCCAAAGCCCCGCATTCCTCGAGTCTGAACAGAGCAATGCGTGTCTGGCACCGCCCCGTCGGGATCGGGGATGGGGGGGGGGGGGGGGCGGGGACTTCCTGCCCTGCCCAGAGGTGACCGCCTCCTGGGCCCGCTCGTCTGGGCAAAATGCGGTGACCGCTCCCTTTATCGTCGCGAAAATTAAGTCAGCCTAGCGAGGGTCACGGGAGACGGGGCCGGGGTCTGGAGGTCGGCTGGCGTCCGGGTAGCCAGGCGGGCGGAACCCAAGTCGGCTTCAGACCCGCCGTACCGCCGCAGCCACCAGGAAGGGAGGCGCTGCCACCTCCCCTGCCCCAGGCCGGCGCCGAGTGGCAGTGCGCCTGCGCAGCGAGGACGGGGACGGGAGGGGCGGGGCGTTCGGGGGCGGGGCGGCGGCGCTTCCGGGGACGTGAGCGGCGGGCCCGGAAGGCTGGCAGCCTGTGATTGGCTCCGCGGGGATGGGGCGGGGGAAGAGGCGTTCCTGGGCGGGGACTCGAGGCCGGTTTGGAATTTTTGGCGCGAGTTGGCTCCGCGGGCGTTCACGGGCCGTTCCCCCGCCAGAGGGTCCTCCGGTCCCGGCGCGGAGAGCTGTCGACGGCAGCCCCGGCCCCCCAGGCCGCCCCGAGGGTTCCCCGCGGCCCCTGCGGACCCGGAATCTGGGACCTCGCGGAGCTGCGCCCCGCCCACCCGCTCCAGGTGAGCCCCGGCCGGGCCCGGCGCGCTCTCCGGCCGGACCTCCCTCCCCTCTGCTACCCTTTGCTGCGGCGCCCCCTGCCCTCCGAGGGCTCCCCCGGGTCAGCCTCTTCCTCCTCCTCCTCCTTCCCCGTCGCCCTCCGACCAGCTCCCCTCCTGCTCACCCTTCCCGGCGGCCCTGCCCCCGCCCTTCCCTCCCCTCCGGGGCCCCCGCTGCTCCTGTTTCCTTCCTCAGGCCCCTTGGCCCCTTTCATCTGGGCACCGCATGAAAGGGGTGCCTGCCCACCCCGTGCTTGTCCTTCCCCAGGAAAAGCCCCGCCCACGTTGCAGCGACTGCCCCTCCTGCGTGACAGCCGGTCCCCTCCGCTCTGGGCGCCCGGCGCGCACGGGGGCGGGTGGCTGCGGCCCCGCCTGGGGGCAGCTCGCAGGCCAGCGCGGAAGACCGGTCAGCAGATGTGCCCGCCCAGTGAGAGGGGCGGCCGCTGGCTGATCCCGGAAACCAGGCTGGGCCGCCCTGGGTTCGCCTGGCTCCTTCTACGGACCCTGCCCCACCCCAAAAGCTGTTGGGCCAGGCCAGAGGCGCTAGGATGTAGGGGGCATTGGAATGGTCTGAGAACTGGTTTGAGTTGAAGCTGTCCATGGCTCTGAATGTGACAGGACTGGGTCTGGAGGCCCCGGGGATCCTGGCATCCCAGTTCCTCACTTTGAGGAACCCTGCAGTGGGATTCCTGAGCTGAAAGAGGCAGAGGAAGGGTGAGTCTTCTAGGGAGGCGCCATGGGGGACCCTCCCTCAGGCCTCACTCGCCCAGGCAGTGGAGGGCACACTTCTTGTTTCAATTACTGACTGCCCCCTCTCCCCTCTTGTTAGGTATGGCATCCTTTTTAAAAAATACATTTTAAATAGATTTTTAAATTTTATTATTATTTTTTTTAGAGAGAGGAAGGGAGAGGGGGGGGAGAGAGAGAAGAAAAAACACATCGATGTGAGATGAGAGCTAAACATCCATTGGCTACCTCCTGCATGCCTCCTACAGGGGATCAACCCTGCCACCCGGTATGTGCCCTGACCTGAATCAAACCAGCAACCTTTCAGTGCAGGGAGGGATGCCCAACCAACTGAGCCACACTGGCCATGGTGGGTATGTCACCTTTTGATACACTGTGACTTCCTCTCAAAATTAAGTCCCCCTCCTTTTGTGTTCTTGTTTTTGTTTCAATTCCAACATTATAGTAACTTAAAAAGCCTTCTCTGCCCCAACACACAAAGCTACTTGTGGAGCCTCTGTAGCTTTGTGTGTCTTTTAACAGCATTTATTGAGGAATCTGCATGCCAGACATGAGGCTGAGCCTTCCCTGAGATTATTATTACAGGTCCACAAATCCTAAGGCCAGGAGTGTTTTGGAATTCAAAATGTGTCAGATTTTAGAAAGCTATATAGGGTGCATATAACATTTATATGTAACACCACCCATGGATCTGGGACATCATTCCATAATCAAACATATTAATATTTTTGTCAAGAAATATATGAATATTCACACTTAGGGAAGAAAGGTAGGTCAGACCATATTTTTCTGCCAAATGAGGTATTTATTTATTTATTGCCAAATGAGTTTTACCTAGTTGTCCCATTTGTTGAGAAAACTATTCTTTCCCACTGAATTGTCTTGGCACTCTGTCAAAATCGATTGACTATAAATGTGAGGGTTTATTTATGAATTTTCAATTCTATTCCATTGATCTATATGTCTATCCTTATGTAAATACAATATTGTTTTTGATTATTGTAACTTTGTAGTAAGTTTTGGAATTGGGAAATAGAATCCTCCCAACTTCGTTTTGAATGTTTTGACTATTCTGGGTCTAGTGAATTTGCATATAAATTTTAGGATCAGCTTGTCAATTTCTACAAAGAATCCAGCTGGGATTCTAATAGGGATTGTGCTGAATCTGTAGATCAGTTTGGAGGGTATTGCCATTTTGTCCATGGTAAATCTTTGGATCTATGAACATGTAATGTCTTTCCATTTACAGGTGGGGCAAAAATAAGATTACAGTTTGTATGAAAATAATACAATAATTCATAAGTAATAATATAAGAATAAAATATTTTAGGACAAATATGTGATACCTTAATCAATAAAGAAATTTAAAAAATAAAAATAAAAAACTATTTTGCATACTCACAACTGTAGACTTACTTTTGCCCCACCCTCTACTTAGGTTGTCTTTAATTGCCTAAAGAAGCTGAGGGAAGAAAGGAAAGGAAGTTTATGTGCATCATGTTTGCTTTATTGACATTCTTATTTACAGTGTCTGGTTCTCTCCATTTGTTCAAGTTGCCACGTGGTGTCATTTCTATTCTCTCCCACCTCCTTTGTGCTGTTATTTGAAGTATATCACATTTCTTTATGTTACATGCCTAACAATACAATTACACACATACTGTTTCATACAATTGCTTTTTAAAAATATATATACTTTTATTGATTTCAGAGAGGAAGGGAGAGGGAGAGAGAGATAGAAACATCAATGATGGGAGGGAATAATTGATCGGCGCCACCTGCAGACCCCACACTGGGGATTGAGCCCACAACCCTAGCATATGTCCTTGACCAGAATTAAATCCAGGACCCTTCAATCCACAGGCTGACGCTCTATCCCATGAGCCAAACTGAACTATTAGCTTAGTTCTTTGAGCCTATTTATAGACTATTTTGAAGTCTTTCTTTGTTAAATCTGACACCTAGTCCTTCTTACATGTAGTTTCTGTGGCCTGTTATTTTTATTTAAATTTTAAAGATATTTTTACTTTTATTTTTTTAAACATTATTTTATTTATTGATTTTAGAGAGAAAGGGGAGAAAAACATCAATTTGTTGTTCACTTATTGCGTTCATTAGTTTGTATGTTCCCTGCTTGGGGATGTGCCCTGGCTGGGAATGGAACTTGCAACCTTGGTGTATCAGGATGAAGCTGTAAACCAACCAGCCTTTTATTTTGTTTTATCTTTCCTGTGTGGGGGTCACACTTTCCTATGTTTTGCACATCTTGTAATTTTTTGTTGAAAACTGGAGTTTTTATTTTTAAAGATTGGTAAACTTTTAACTAATATGTTTTTATTGATTTAGAAGGAAGAGGGAGATAGAACCACCAATGATGAGAGGGAATCATTGGTTGGCTGCCTCCTGCACTTCCCCTGCTGGGGATTGAGCCTGCAACCTGGACAGGTGCCCTGACGGGGAATCCAACTGAGACATCCTGGGTTACGGTTGATGCTCAACCACTGAACCACACCGGCCAGCAAAACTGGACATTTTACTTTTTATATGTTTTTATTGATTTCAGAGAATAAAGGATAGTGAGAGATATAGAAGCAGCAGTGATGAGAGAGAATTGTTGATTGCTATTGGGGATCTAGCCTGCAACCATGATCTCCTGGTTCATAGGTCACTGAGCCAAGCCAACCAAGCAAACACTGGACTTTTTTTTTTTTTTTTTTTACTTACACATTTTAGCAACTGTGTGTACTGGCTCCTCAACCCCCCAGGGCTTGTGATTTTTTTTTTTTTTTTTTCTTATCTGTTTAGTGAATGACTGGACCGTTGTGGTGACATGTCTTTCTGCAGTATGAGGTCTCTGACATGGCTCCTCAGAGGACCCAACCTGGAACATCTGCACAGCCAACCTGGGTCCCCGAGGGTCTAAGGGGGACTATCTTTGACTGCTTTCCCTAATCACATCCACCTGCTGGGCTCCCCCAGTTGCTAGCTGTCTTCTCTGTGTTTTTGTCCTGGAGCATAAGTTGCTCCATTGACTAGTCCAATTAAATTTAGCTTCTTTAACAGGATAACTTTTGAGTTCAGTGTTTGAGGTTTGATCGGACCCCAGGAAGCTTCTTTTGATCTATCTCTCTGGTAAATTACCTGGTTATAATAATGGAGGCACCAGCCTCGGCCTATTTGTGTACCATCCAAATCTTGATTGAGTTTTATTTTTATCTTATTTTTTAAAATATATTTTATTGAGCCGAAACTGGTTTGGCTCAATGGATAGAGCGTCGGCTTAGGGACTGAAGGGTCCCGGGTTCGATTCCAGTCAAGGGCATGTACCTCGGTTGCGGGCACATCCCCAGTAGGGGGTGTGCAAGAGGCAGCTGATCGATGACTCTCATCGATATTTCTAACTCTCTATCTCTCTCCCTTCCTCTCTGTACAAAATCAATAAAATATATTTTTTTAAAAAATATTTATATATTTTATTGATTTCTTACAGAGAGGAGGAGAGAGGGATAGAGAGCTAGAAACGTCGATGAGAGAGAAACATCGACCAGCTGCCTCTTGCACACCCCCTACCAGGGATGTGCCCGCAACCAGTGTACATGCCTTTGACCGGAATCAAACCTGGGACCTTTCAGTCCGCAGACTGACGCTCTACCACTGAGCCAAACCGGTTTCGGCTTGATTGATTTTTAAATTAAATATTTGTTGTTGAAAGTATTGCATGTTCTCCCCTGCCCAGTCCCCCCATTGACTTCTCCTAGCCTGCCCCTGCCCCCAGCCCCAGGCCTTCACCATCCTATTGTCTGTGTCCATGGGTTATGCATGGATGCATACAAGTTCTTTGGTTGATCTCTTCCCACCCATCCATCCTCCCCCACCTCTCCTCTGAGATTCCCTAGTCTGTTTTATGTTTCTACGTCTCTAGATCTATTTTATTAGATTCCATATACGAGTAAGATGATGTAATACTTGTCTTTCTCTGACTGGCTTATTTTGCTTAGTATAATACTCTCCAGGTTCCTCCATGCTGTCTCAAAGGGTGAGAGATCCTTCTTCTTTTTTTTTTTTACAGCTGCATAGTATTCCATGGTATACATGTACCACAGCTTTTATCCACTCACCTGCTGATGGGCACTTGGGCTGTTTCCAGATCTTAGCCATTTTAAATTGTGCTGCTATGAACATAGGGGCGCGTACATTCTTTCTGATTGGCGTTTCGGTTTCTTAGGATATATTCCTAGAAGTGGGATCACTGGGTCAAATGGCAGTTCCATTTTTTTGAGAAAACTCCATACTGTTTTCCATAATGGCTGCCCCAGTCTGCATTCCCACCAGCAGTGTACTAGGGTTCCCTTTCTCCACACCCTCACCATCACTTGTTATTTGTTGATTTGTTGATGGTAGCCATTCTGTTACTGATTTTTTTAGAATACCATTAAACTTGAACTTCCCGTATTGTTTCCTTTTTTTTTTTTTTTAATATATTTTATTGATTTTGTACAGATAGGAAGGGAGAGAGATAGAGAGTTAGAAACATCGATGAGAGAGAGTCATCGATCAGCTGCCTCTTGCACACCCTCTACTGGGGATGTGCCCGCAACCAAGGTACATGCCCTTGACCAGGATCAAACCCGGGACCCTTCAGTCCCCAAGCCGACGCTCTATCCATTGAGCCAAACCGGTTTCGGCCTGTATTCTGTTTCAAATAAAGTCTGTCTGTTTCTTTGTTTATAGGAAGAGATTCAGAGTTGTCTGTTTTATAACCTACCTCCCCCTCAAGGCAGAACGTCTGAGCGACAGCTCTGGAGCTGCGGGCAGGGAAGTTAAGCCCGTCTCCCTGAGTGACACCGCTGCCTTAGGGTGGGGCGGCAGCCTGGGGCCTTCTCAGCTTGCCTCGCCCAGTGCGGATCCTCCTTCCTAGGAATGAGCTGGGGCTTGAGCGATGGGGCTGTATTCCTCACCTGCTGGACCCAAGGCAGAGCTTTGGCCTTCTGCGTAGGGGCTGGTGGGAGGAGGGGGCCCTGGCCTCTGGCAACAGCCGGCTGGAATTTAGCCTTTGCAACATGGAAAGTGGAACTCCATGACATGAGTGTTAGGATCACAACTATGAAAAAGAGAGCAAGAGACTTTTGGAATCAGACCTTTTAATACTTTGAAATCAGAGATAAAGGAGTGTGGGCCTGTGTGAATATTTCCCCCTTACAGTCTTGGAAGAGATTGCGTATCTTACAGTCAAATAGCATCGTGACAAGACAGGGATCTGGCCCCAGAACCTGCCTTGACTCGCCCTCTGCTGGATTGTGGGGGCCTCTGGGACATGGTCCCATGCATTTCAGTTTGTTTCTAGGACTTCCGGGTACAGACGACTGACCGTGTGCAGGTGTGTATATTTGTCCTCTGCCTTGTCCCACCAGGTGCTCGTGTCTCCACAGCCTCCGTGTTAAAGGAGAACATGTGTGAGGAGTAGACACGGCTTCCTTCCGCAGCCTCTCTGGGGCCACAGGACAAGGAACTGTTTGTGTGGACACGCTGTTCTGTACTCTGCCTCTCAGTGCCTCCTGTGCCGGCCATGCCTGTGCCCACGGAGGGCACCCCACCAACCCTGAGCGGCACCCCCACCCCAGTCCCAGCCTACTTCCGCCACGCAGAGCCCGGCTTTTCCCTCAAGAGGCCCAGGGGGCTCAGTCAGAGCCTTCCGCCCCGGCCCCCTGCCAAGGGCAGCATCCCCATCAGTCGCCTCTTCCCTCGGACCCCAGGCTGGCACCAGCCCCAACCCCGGAAAGTGTCATTCAAAGGCAAAGACTCTGGGACCCTGCAGAGCCCCAGTTACGACCCAAGCCGGCCAGAGTCCTTCTTCCAACAGAATTTCCAGAGGCTTGGCCGCCTGGGCCGTGGCTCTTATGGAGAGGTCTTCAAGGTGAGTGGAGTGACAGTGCCATGGCCTGTCTGGGGGGCCCCCTTGCCTCCCTCCCTCTGCCCGGATGGGATAGAATCCTGGGCAGCCTGCTCCCCTTCTCTCCTGACAGCCCACTTCTCTTGAGTTGACAGACACCCCTCCTCAAGGTTTGACTTGGCTGCTTTCTCAGAAACCCCCACAAGGCCCCTCCGAGGGCCCCCTTGGTGCACACTCCCCCTTTGTCCAGAGCCTGGCAGTGGCGCCTGGCTTCCATCTCCTCCCACCCTGGAGCCAGCTGCTCTTGGCAAGCTCTGCCCGGTCCCCGGAGCCAGCCCCCAGAGTGCAGTGCTTACCCTGCCCCTGCCCCCCTCCTCCCCCAGGCCGCGGATACTTAGACTATACCCTGTGTACCACCTTTTTTTTTTTTTTTTCTTAAAATATATTTTCCGCCGAAACCAGTTTGGCTCAGTGGTAGGGCATCGGTCTGCGGACTGAATGGTCCCAGGTTCGATTCCAGTCAAGGGCATGTACCTTGGTTGCGGGCACATCCCTGGTAGGGGGTGTGCAAGAGGCAGCTGGTGGATGTTACTCTCTCATCGACGTTTCTGGCTCTCTGTCTCTCTCCCTTCCTCTCTGTAAAAAATCAATATTTAATTAATATTTCCTTCAAAATGATAGTATTCCTTGCACAAGTACTACAAACAGCGTGGGCCCCTAGATTAGGTCTTCTTCCACAGGACACCACTGGGTTTCTCCGGTGGGCGTCCTTCCTTCCAGAACTCTCTCTCTACATCTCTAGCATTGGCCACATAGAAACAAACCCATTAATATTCTACACAGGGGGCCACGCTGCCTGTGTTCTGAAGCCAGCTTTTTTATTTCATAGCAGTCTGAGAGACCCTCCAGATTAGTGCCTACAGGTCAGCCCCGTCTCTTCCGTGCTTGGGTCTCCAGGGAGCCAGTGCCCAGGGTAGAGGTCCGTCTGGTCTCGCTATTGTATGTGCAAGGCTCTCTAAGGTGGATGCCACGCTCTGCCTTCCACACGTGTGAAATCTTAACAGAACCTGCCGTGCGGCGAGATGGCTGTGCCACTTCCCGTCCCGCCTCAGTACTCTCTCCCTCCCAGGTGCGCTCCAAGGAAGACGGCCAGCTCTATGCCGTAAAGCGTTCCATGTCCCCCTTCCGGGGCCCCAAGGACCGGGCCCGAAAGCTGGCGGAGGTCCGTGGCCACGAGAAGGTGGGGCAGCACCCATGCTGCGTGCGGCTGGAGCGAGCCTGGGAGGAGGGCGGCATCCTGTACCTGCAGACAGAGCTGTGTGGGCCCAGCCTGCAGCAGCACTGCGAGGCCTGGGGCACCGGCCTGCCTGAGGCCCAGGTCTGGGGCTACCTGCGGGACACCCTCCTCGCTCTGGCCCACCTGCACGGCCAGGGCATGGTCCACCTTGACATCAAGCCTGCCAACATCTTCCTGGGGCCCCGGGGCCGCTGCAAAGTGGGTGACTTTGGGCTGCTGGTGGAGCTGGATGGATCTGGAGCTGGTGAGGCCCAGGAGGGAGACCCCCGCTACATGGCCCCCGAGCTGCTGCAGGGCTCCTATGGGACAGCAGCCGATGTGTTCAGGTAAGGCTGGGCCACGGAGGCCCTTCATGGCTGGGGTGCAGTCGGCAGAGGGAGGGAAATGCCTTCCCAGCCCAGAGTCAGGCTGGGAGACAGTGCCTGAGAGGGTGAAGCCACCACCCTCTAGTGGAGAGTAGTCTACAGTCAGGCTGGCTAAGCAGCAAATCATCTGGAGTTACTTTATTATATTCACTTGTCTCTTTATCACATCTCCCCAGAGGGACTGTTATTGCTCCATTTATAGGGGAATGGGCACAGTGGAGTTAAGAGACTTGCCCAGCCGAGACCGGTTTGGCTCAGTGGATAGAGCGTCGGCTTGGGGACTTAAGGGACCCGGGTTCGATTCCAGTCAAGGGCATGTACCTTGGTTGCGGGCACATCCCCAGTAGGGGGTGTGCAAGAGGCAGCTGATCGATGACTCTCTCTCATCGATGTTTCTAGCTCTCTATCTCCTCCCTTCCTCTCTGTACAAAATCAATAAAATATATTTTTAAATAAAAAAAAAAAAAAAAAAAAAAAAAAGAGAGACTTGCCCAGAGTCCACAGTTAGCAGGTGGTAAAGCTGGGACTGGACCAGACACTGGATTCTGTGGTCCGTGTCAGTAACCATTGCTCTGCCTCTAACAGTCTATCCAGCCCTGTCTGGAGGATCCTGATAGTAACACTAGTAACCATAGTGTCCATCTGGCGGGGGTGCCAGGACTCATTGCAGTGGTGTGTGGGCTGCACTGAACACTGGTCCATGCTTCGTGAATGTGTTCCCCTCATTGGCTCTGCCGGGCCTTCTCAGAGCCCCCCCCTCCCCTCCCGCCACTCCTTCCCCTCCTGCCGGCTCTTCTCCACCCTCTTCTGAGGGGATCCTGGGGCTCTGGGATCTGTGGCCCAAGGCTAACCGTGTCTGTCTTCTGTCCCACCTCCCTCCCCACCCCCAGTCTGGGTCTCACCATCCTGGAAGTGGCATGCAACATGGAGCTGCCCCATGGCGGAGAGGGCTGGCAGCAGCTGCGCCAGGGCTATCTGCCCCCTGAGTTCACTGCCAGTGAGTAGGGGCGAGGGGGAGGGTCAAGGATGGGAGGGGACATGGTGCTACAGACTCGTGTGAGGGAACGGTTGGCTGTGAGGAGACTGCTGGGCTCAGACCCTGTCGCCTTTGACACAATCCTTCCCTGTGGACAGGCCTGTCTTCTGAGCTGCGGTCTGTGCTCATCATGATGCTGGAGCCTGATCCGGAGCGGCGGGCCACAGCCGAGGCCCTGCTGGCCCTGCCTCTGCTCAGACAGCCACAGCCCTGCAGTGTCCTGAGGTACATGGCTGCTGAAGCCCTGAGTCGAGGGTGGGCCCTTTGGCAGGTAAGCCTGGTAAAGGTAACGGCCTCCCCTCCTCCTGGCCCTGGATTCTGCCCAGCCTCCCTTGGCCCCCTGTCCCCACAGGCCCTGCTTGCCCTGCTGTGCTGGCTCTGGCATGGGCTGGCTCACCCTGCCAGCTGGCTACGGCCCCTGAGGCCTCCAGCCACCCCGCCTGGCTCGCCGCCCTGCAGCTTCCTCCTGGACAGCAGCCACTCCAGCAACTGGGATGACGACAGCATCGGGTGGGTGAGAGCTCGGGACTGGGGTGGGGGTGGGGAGATGGGCTGCCAGCCTGGCCAAACCCCATACAGAGGCCAGGCTCCTTGGGGAGTAGCGGTGCACGGGGACCCCTCCCACAAACCTGGCCCCCACCATGCCCTGGGAAGGGCCCCAAAGCTGGTGGGGGTACAGCCTGGCCTGGTTTGAATGCAGTTGTTTCTTCTGAGCTCAGAACGTGGGAAGGCTGCTGTGCAGAGCGCAGCAGAATGGCAACTTCACACCTTGGCACTGCCACTCTAGGGAGAGGCAGTGGTGCAGTCCAGCCGCAGTCCAGGCCACCGCTGCCCAAGGGCAAGGCGTTGTCCTTCTCGGGACAGTTCCCAGAGCCTGGCGAGCCCCGTCCCTGGAGGAATTCCTCAGTCCCAGATGCCTGCTGGCCAGGCGAGAGGCTATAATTAAGAAACTGTGGCAAAGGGAAAGCACATGCTCCGGCAGACCGTTCTCCGGAGAAATCACACCATTAACCCTCCTGTGAAAAGGTCATCACACTGTGGTCCTCTGGCTGCTCAGTTAGTTGGAGCATGTCTTGTATGCCGACCGAAAGGTCGTGGTTTTGATTTCTGGTCAACGCAGATACATAGGTTGCAGGTTCCATCCCTTGTCAGGGTGCCTGTGGGAGGCAATTTGTGTTTCTCTCACATTGAAGATTGAAGTTTCTCTTTCCCTTTCTCTCAAAAACAAAACAAAACAAAAACCAAAAAAAACAAAACAACAATAAAAAGCACACATATCCTCAAGTGAGAATTAAAAAGAAAACATTACCCTGTTGTCATAGGGACACTTTATAGCAGAAGTGAAGTGCAAAAGCAGCTTCATTTATCACAGGTTCACTTCAGAGCCAGCTCAGCTGAAGCCCCTGGGTTCTGAAAGGGGCCTCGGTGCCTCTGAGTGAGGCCAGGTAGACTTTAAAAGTTGTGCGAATGATTCTTTCAAAGGGTACCACCCTTCATTGCCCGTCAGGTGGGAACCTGCACAGGGACAGGGTTGACTGCGCTGATCCCACAGCCTCCTCCCCATGCACTCACCACCGCTTTGACACTGCTTGTCTTGCCCACCCCTGCAGACCCTCGTTCTCCCCAGAGGCCATTCTGGCCAGGGCTGCCAGGAGCACCTCCTCCACACCCCAGCGCAGGCAGACACTGAGGTGGGTAGCCCAGGGTTAGAGGTAGGGAGGGGGGAGGGTCGTTTCAAATCCTGAGTGTCATTTCTCTCTCTTCCTACCCCCTAGGGATGACCTGGACCTCAGTGACATTGACTCAGAGTCTCCTCATGGCTCCTTCTCCTCCTTTGAGCCTCGGAACCTCCTCAGCCTGTTTGAGGACTCACTGGGCCCAACCTGAGCTCACTGCAGCCTCAGTGCTTTTAACCTTTTAGCTTCTTCCCCCATCCTGGAGGCTGAGGTCCCCTGGGCACTCCAGTGGTCCCCTCTGCCTGGCCATGTCTAATAAAAGATACCTGAGTCTTGGGAGCACCCAAGCTTGCTTGCATGGCAACACAGCACTTCCTGCCCATTTTATTGGCGTCGCCCAGGGTCTGAGGGCCCTGGGGTGTCTGAGCCTGAGGCTGGCTGCAGAGCTCCTGGCCAGCACATTGCAGCTGGGAGCCCCGTGCTGTGTGGACCAGAGATTTCCTGAGCAGGCGTGTCCCCGGTTGGCTGGTTGAGCCTTCAGAACATGGCACTCAAAGTGGAGGGTGGGCCCTTAGCCCAGTGGTCCAGGGCCACTCGGCTCTTTACATCTGTGCATTGCCTGGGAAAAGCAGCAGCAGCAGGCCTCCTGCCCCTTGGTCCTGGGATAAGTGGATAGTCCTGCTGTCCAAACCCCTCACTCCATTCTGGACAGAAGGAAGAGGGGGTGGGTGAGCCTGGCATTGCTGGATGGGCTGTCATGCAGGGCCAAAAGATGGAGGAACCATGGACTGGTGGCCAGGCCAGCCACCTATTGAGGTACCTTATGTAAGGGTCTGAGAAGGGGCAGGATGGGGCTAAGGCCCTGGGCTGGCAGGACTCCAGCCATCAGAGCAAGACAGACCCCAGCATCCCTCTGGCCCCACCCTCACAGGTCATAGAGGGTAAACTGGCCCTTAGAAGGACCGGTGTCCTAGCTGCACAGGAAGACACTGCCCTGGAAGGGGGCTGGAGCTCCGAGGTGTGGGCAGGAGAGGCTCGTCCATAGGGAAGAAGGGGTGAACAGCTGGGAGGCATCCAAGGAGCCAGTCCCCTGCAGACCAGCAGAAGGAGGGGAGCCTGGTGGTGGTGGTGGCCCTAGGAGACCGGGCAGGCTGGCCTTGAGTGTGGGCCGTGGCTCAGTCTGGGGGACAGGCGTGGCTGGCGGCCCAGAGCAGGTCGGGCACGACGCCCGCGTGCAGCTGCAGGATGGAGCCCACACTGAGCAGGTGCATGATCTGGTGTGAGTTGCCCCAGTAGTCGAAGCGGCCTGGTCCCCAGCGCTCTGGCAGACGGGCCACGTTCACCAGCCCCCCGAGCAGGGCGAGGGCATCCATGCGCAGGTAACAGTGCAGGGAGCCTGGAGCTCCGGAGCCCAGTCCCACTCCCCGGGCCCCAAACACCAGGAGGCGGGCTCCAGCCTGCCAACCAAACGCTCGGAGACGGGCACTGGTGGAGGGGGCGGTGAGGGCCCTCCAGCCAGCCACACCTGACAGCAAGGTGTAGCCCACCAGGGCGGCGGGGCGCAGCCAGGGCCTGCAGGCCAGGGTGCAGTGGATGATGGGCAGGGCCCCTGCACAGAGGAGAGAGGCAGGAGAGGGCACGTCAGTTTGGGGACTGCCTGCCCTTCCACCTGAGTGTCCCCTGCTGCCCCCGCCCCTGTTGCCCCCCAGCTTCCATTCTTCTTGCCCCCCGCCCCGTCCCTTGGCTCACCGAGGGTGTTGACGAGGCAGACCCCGCACATATCCAGGGCCAGGAGCCGAGAGTACACAGGGCTGCCCCCTTGGTGGCACATGAAGAGATGGTAGAGCACAGAGCCCGCAGGTGGTGCCAGGCAGGCCACACAGTGTGTGCCTCCCAGCCAGCCATCCTTGCCCAGCTGACCCCAGGGCATGGTCATTGGCAGCAGCACCAGGAAGCCCAGCAGGGCCAGCCCTGGGGGAGGGAAACAGTTATCCATCACACAGCTTCAGCAGCGAGGACAGGCAATGCCCTCAGGGTGTCCACGGCTAGAGACAACATGGAAGGAATGAGAGCAAGACAGGTCTTGTCAACAGTGTCAGACAACTATTGCCAGACCCGGGACAGAGGCAGGCCTGGGTGTTCGGGACTTTACTTATGCAGCAGGCTCACAATAGCTCTGGAAGTAGGTCATTATCCCCACTTCGCAGGTGAGAAAACTGAGTAAACTGTCCCAGGTGAGTGGGATAGAGCCCAGGCACTCACCCCCCCCCCCCCCCCACACACACACACACGCTGTTCTCACCCCTGCAGCCACGTTACATCACCTCCCCAGAAAGCACCGGCCCAAACCCCCAACCCGGCCTCTGTGTCAGCAGAAGCCAGAAGGAGGCGTGATTCAAGCTGAGTTCTGGAAAGAACGTGGGCAATGATACCAGATCCCAGGGCAACTTAGCTTCTCCCAACCCCATGTCCGCTCCAGAGTGACCAGACGAGTGAAGGCGTTGAGCCCTCTGTCTTTCAGAAGGGGCAGACAGTTTGTTCCTTCTCCACAGGCACCTCTTCTGGGAGCTCAGTTCCTCCCAGCCCAGGCGCCCTGCCTTTCCCTGCGGGCACTCTAGCGTTGCCCTCACAGGGGTCAAAGGTGGGCACTGCAGGCTGGGGCCGCTGACTGCCCGCTGTAGACAGGGCTGGCCAGGCCACAGTCCCCCAGTGGGATAGGTACCAAGGCTGGGCCCAGCCTGCTCTGGGGCCCTCGGCCAGGACAGGCCAAGGGCGTACAAGGCTGTGTCAGCACAGCTCCCCGGGGCGCGGAGGAGGGGCCCCATGCCTGTGGGGCGGGGTGGCTGGGGGGAGGTGTTGCCACCAGGCGGAGCCCCAAGACTAGGCTGCTCTGCTGGGGTAGCAGGGCGGCTGCGCGGGGAGGGGCCGGGGCCTGGCTTTTGCTCCTGGACTACTTCTTGCCCAACTCAACACCCAGGTCCCAAGTCGACACCCAGCACCCGGGTCCGGACGGGTGCGGCTGGAGTGGGGGAAGGGGCGTGGAGATGCGCAGGGGCCGGGATTACGGAGGGGCTGTGCACTGGGCTGCTTCTCCCCGGGGCTCAGAGGGATTAAGTGGACTCGATCCCCCACTCCGCTTCCCTTGCCTGCCCGGGGCCCCCGCCGGGGCAGCGGAAGCAGGGAGCGCCGTCCGGGACAATGGCAGCTTTGTCACCGCGGTGCCAGGGCCGGGGCAGCCCGGGATCTGGCCACTGGGGCGCTCCCCGGCCTTCCGGCCCCCGGCCCGGCGCAGGCAGAGCTGCCGCGGGTGCGGGGTGCGGGCGCAGCTCACCGTGCGTGTAGATGTTGCCCAGCTCGTTGTGCAGGTAGAAGAGGCTGCGCAGGCAGCCCGAGCCGCTGCTGGCCGGCCGGTAGCCGGTCAACACGAACTTGTTGAACTGCAGGTGCGGCGGCGAGCTGGCCCAGTCCAGCAGGCGCGGCCCGGCCAGGAACGCCATGGCCTGGCCGAGCGCGGGCGGCCCGCGCCCCTCCGGACCCCGGGCCTCTTCAGCGGGGCTGCGGCGGCGCGGGACTCATCCCTGCGCCTGCCCGCGGCCCGGTCCGCGCACGCGCCGCCCGGGGGTCCCCGCTGGCGCCCCTCCTGCGCTGCGCAAGCGCGGGCCCCGCGCCCCCGCGTCAGGGCGGAGGCTGGGAGCGCGCCGGCCTCCGGGGCGCAGTGCGGCCGCTCCGCTCCGCCGGGGCTGGCGGGGCTGGCGCCGGCAGGGACTGAGCACCCGCAGCAGCAGCGGCAACAGCAGCGACCGGGAGTCCTCTGAAGCCCCGAGGAAGGGTGCGGCCGGACGCGGGAGGGGACGCGAGGCTCCGCCCCAGCTAGCCACCCCCGCCATCCCACCAGCGTTTCGCGCGCTGAGCTTCCAGATCTAGACGCTGCGAGAGCCAATAGGTGCGGCTGGTGGGCAGGCCCCGCCCCGAGGCTTCCCGGGACAGCACCCTCTTTAGCATAATAACGTATGCGGCGCCCGTCTCATTCGCACGGAGTGGCTGTTGACTTGGGACCCAGCGTCCTGGGAACCGGCGGCTTTGCCGGAGTGACCGCAGCGCCTGGCGTCGCCCCGCAGCGCGCGCCCCGGTTTTCCAAACTGCGCCCAGGTCAACGCACCCTTGGGCGCCCACCCTCCCCAGCACCGCCCCACACCCAACGCCACCCCCTGGCAGCCTGGGCTCTGTCCAGGGTGCTGCCAGCCCGGGCCGTTCGGACAGGTCAGGCCTGGAGCCGGCACTCCCCACTCCAGCGATGATCTATCCACAGGCCCGGCTCCCCTGAGGCACAGCAAGGCGCGCCAGGATGTCCAGGCCCCTGCAGGTGTTCCTGACTTTCTAGGCGCCGTCGGGAGAGGCCCTGCCCTTTGGACTGCCTTCTTCGAGCTCCACAAAACTCACTCTCTATTACCGCCCACAATGTACACTTTCCGCCCCTCCCAGGACAGGCAGGAAATGGAGGGGAAGACAGAGGGCAAGCAGCCAGGGAAGAAAGGTCACTCCCTGCCTGGGTTCATGCTAAAGTGGGGCCCAGGAAGGCATTGCTTCTTCCGTTTAATCTGGCTCACAGCCTCACAGCCTGCCTCTCCCTCCCCTCCCCCCCCTCCAGGACCCGCCCGCCCATCCTTCCGCCCGCCCATTCCTCAGCCCTCTGCATTTCAGCTGGCACCCAGACACTGCGTGGAACGCCCTTCATTTGCATGGACACACCCAGCCCTTTGCTTCAGTGTCATCACCATAATTTCCTACCACTTAAGAATTTGCAGAGCCCTATACCAAAATAGCTTCTTTATTCAGAGTCTGTGTCTGGTCTTTTGACCACTTTTGTTGAACTCTCACATTTCACTTAGGGCAGCAGCCCAGGACTACCCCCAGAGGGGCTCAAAGACCCTGAAACCAGAGCTCCTTATCAAGGTCTATGAGGAGGGAGCCGATTGCTCCTGCCAATGGGTCTGGGCCATCTGGACACCTAGAGGTAGGCCAAGTTCCCAATAATAGTACCAGAGGCTTCTTGTCCGACGTCTGACCTCTGAGAGGTGAGCAGAGGCAGAGCTGCCCGTAAAAAAGGGGAAGGCCAAGGTGGAGTGTGGCACAGAGTGCCAGGTGTCCATCACTCTGTTGGAGGATCCAATGGACCCTGGGGGTCCTGAGTCAGAGGGCAGAGATGAGTGAACGCAGGGAACTCTGGCTGGAGGCGCTCAGGGGGCGGTAAGTTGAGGCTAGCCCCTCAGCCTGGGAGTCCCCAGGGGGGCAGGGCAGCGCCACCCCTCCAGGACGGTGATACCACACAGCCCAACTTCTCCCAGAGCCCTGGGCAGGCCTCAGGGGCAGGGGTCCTTTTCCTGGAGCCAGCAGACAGCTCCTAGAAAGGGAGCAGGCATCAGCCAAAGACCCAGCCAGTCACCTCCAGCATCCATCCTGCTTCGCCTGCGACCCCGGGCCCCATTTTCTGTGTAGACCCAAGGTCCTCAAGAACCTAGGAGTTTCAGCTCCAATTCCTCATCTGTGTCCCAGCTTCCCGCCAGACCGCCGCCCCCACCCAACACACACACACACACACACACACACACACACACACTCACACACACACACTCCATGCCCCCACCACGCGCCTGGGCACCGAGGCATCCAGTACTAGATGCCCCACTGCCCAGCTGGGTCACCCGCAGGCCCTGCCCCAGCGTGCGCACCGTCGGCGCAGCAGGCGCAGCAGCGACAGCAGCAGCAACAGCAGCAGCGACAGCAGCAGCAGCACGGAGACGGCCATCACCGTTGAGAAGACCCGGGCTGTGGGCATACAGGGGCGGTGAGGACAGGGCTCGGGAGAGCGCTGCTTCCCCAGCTCCCACCCTCCTCAAGCTCCAGCCTCACCGCCCACGGTGGCCTCCGGAGCCCCAGGCCGGGGGCTGCAGCTGGCATTGGTCCCGTAGGGGAGCCCTGCAGGAGTCTGGGCCGCGCCCCTGGGGAGCGCCGGGTTCTCCGCCGCCTCTGGCAGGCCTGTGGAGAGGGGTGTGAGGGGTGTGAGGCGGCAGGCTGGGGGGCGGGCCCGGGGAGGGTGGGCGGGGCCCGGGCGGACCCGGGGGCGGGGCCTCACCGCGGTAGCTGAGCGCGAAGCCCTGCGCGTGGCCGCGCGCGTCGCTGCGGAAGCTGAGCAGCAGCGCGGCGGCGCGCAGGCGCAGCGGCCCGGCGGGCGGAGGGCGGGCGCCGTCGAAGGCGCGGAGCAGGCTGCCCGAGGCGGCGTCGCGCAGCTCCAGGCGGTCGCGCGGGTCCGCCAGCTCGAAGAGGCGGAAGGTGAGCTCCAGGGCCGTGCCCGGCGGGCCCAGCGCCCAGCTGCAGTTCTGGTCCGGCCCGTACTCGTCCGGGAAGCCCGGGGAGTAGATGACGCCCTGGGGCGCCGTCCAGTTCCCCTGGCAGGAGCCCACCGACACTGCGGGTGGGGCGGCAGTCAGAACCCGAGACCCCCAGGCCGCTTCCCGGGGCGGAGCTCTGCGCCAAAGCCGCGCCTCCTCCCGGCCAGGCCCCGCCCCCAGCCTTTCCGCCTTCCCTTCCCACATTCCCCACATTTCTTTTTAAAAAATGCATTTTATTTAAATTTTATTGATTTTTTACAGAGAGGAAGGGAGAGGGATAGAGAGCCAGAAACATCAATGAAAGAGAAACATCTATCAGCTGCCTCCTACACACCCCCCCCCTCCACTGGGGATGTGCCTGCAACCAAGGTACTTGCCCTTGACTGGAATCAAACCTGGGACCTTTCAGTTCGCAGGTCAGCGTTCTATCCACTGAGCAAACCAGTCAGGGCCCCACATTCCCACATTTCGCTCACTCCTCACCTTCGTAGACTCCCAGGCGCCCATCACCGCCGCACAGCTGGCCGGGGTGGCCGAAGCAGATCTGGTCACAGTCGGTGGCCGGCGCGGGGCGACCCCGAGCCAAGTCGCCCTCGGAGCCACAGAAGCAGGCGTAGCCAGCTTCCACGCCCGCCAGCTGGGGGACAGAGCGGGTGACGCCGGGCAGGGCCTGGGGTGCGGGTGGGGTGTTGGGAGCCGGGGGTCGGGCTGGGGAGTGGGAGGAGGGCTGGAGGTCCAGACATGGGCACAGCATCAAGGTTTGGTGTCAGAGCTGGGAGTTGGTTCCAGCCTAGGTCAGGTCGGGCCGCGGACGGTACCTGGAAGCCCTTCATGCGGCAGAAGCGGAGGCACACCTGCACCGTGAGCTTCGTGGAGGTGCCGCTGGGGCCGCTGAGGGCGGGGGGCGCGCCCGAGTCCACGAAGCAGCCCAGGTACCCGGGCACTGCGGGGCGGGACGCGGTCTGTGTGGCGCCTTCCGACGTGCCGGCCCTCGGGCGGCCCCCGCCCTCCGCCCCGCTGGGCCACTCACTGTGGCACGTGGGGATGTCGCAGTAGCGCCAGTAGATGCCCTCCTCCGTCTCCGCCACGTAGCACCACGGCTGCACGTCGCCGTCTGGGTTCCTGCGGGCGGAGAGGGGTCCAGGTCCTGCTCCCCAAAATCCCCCCCCCGCCCCGCCCCGCCCCGGGGTATAGCAACCCCGTCCGCGTGCCATCCTCGGAGCGGTCGGCGAGGAGCTATGAAAGGGTCCCGGGGGCAGATTTTAGGTTTTCAGCTGAGGACTGTGCCTTTGCTGTGCTCTCCCCCGCGCGCCCCCACCAACCCCCCACCCCCACCCCGGGCCTCGGCCACTGGCTGGCCTGAGCACCCCGCTTTCAAGCAGAAGTGGTGACGACTCCTGTCCACAGAGACGTGTCCTCCCACTCCGGACAGCAGCTGTGTCTCTGAACCCCAAGGCCCTCGGTCACCCTAGTGGGTGCCCCTCAGAGAGGCCGGCCCTCACTCCGGAGATTGCTTCCTGGCCCCACCCACACGGCCCCTCAGCGCCCCTCAGTGCCCAGGCCGGTTCAGAGGTTGGGCACCTGAGGCCGGACCCGCGTCAGGAAATGTTCTGAGCGCCCAGCGCAGGTAAGGCCTGTTCCGCTGGGCCGGCCCTACAGAGCCTCCTCGCCACCCTCTCCCGCCCCCCAGCACCTGCCCCCCAGCCCCTGCCTCAGGTCCACGCCCGAAATAGTGGGCTCAGCCCCGCCTCCAACGAGGCCCCGCCCCAAAGGTCCCTCCCCCAATAGACTCCGTTCCCGCCCCCAAACCCCTCCACTAATAGACCACGCCCCTTCCGCCCCAAAGGTCCCGCCCCCAATAGACCACGCCCCCACTCCAAAAGCCCACCCCCGATAGACCACGCCCTGGCCCCGCCCCAAAGCCCTACCTACTAACAGACCACGCCCCCGCACCGCCCCAAGGGTCCCGCCCCCAACAGACCCTGCCCTACCCCAAGACCCTCCCGATAGACCACGCCCCCGGGCCCGCCCCCTTCCCAATGCACTCCCCGAAAGGCCCCGCCCCCTATAGGCCCCGCCCCAAAAGTCCCGCCCCGGGCCGCCCCTCACCGGCAGAAGTTGTGCGGCCCCAGCCCCCAGCGGCCCTGGGGGTCGCGGGCGCTGCTGTAGCTGTGCTGCTGTGTCTGGTCCCAGAAGAGGCAGGGGCGGCCGGTGCCACGCGGGCCTGTGCGGTTCTGGCGGCCGCGGTAGTCGGCGCCGTTCACCTGGAAGCACTCGGACAGGCCTGCGCGGCCAAGGCAGGGCCTGGGAGGTCCGGAGCCGCGCCCGACAACCCGAGGGCCCCCCTTTCCCCTCCGACTCCCCGAGGCCCCCCTCTCCCACCCGGGGCCAACTCCTCCTGCCTGGCTCCGCTGCGCCCGCCACCTGCTCTGACCCGCCCTAGGCCCGGCCCCGGGTGCCAGGCGGGGAGACGGGGGCGGGAGCGCTGACCAAGGCCCGGTTCTGCGGCCGAGACTCACCTGGACTGTGCAGGCTCCCCGCGGAGGCCCGGCGTGGCCACGGCGTTGGGAGGAGGAGGAGGAGCAGGAGGAGGCTCTGCGGGGCTCCCGCCCCCATCGCACCCGACCCGGGAGGGGTCGCCCAGGCCTGCATACGGCCTGCGCCACCCCGGGGTCGCGTCGGGGTCTCCCAGGCGACCTGGGGGGAGGCGTTGTCCTCTGACCTTGAGTCCTCGTCCCACTTTGGGCAGCACTCTGGTCTGGGGGGAGATACCTCCCAGGGGTTTTGCCCCCGGAGGCCTCTCTCTGCCCTGTCCCTCCTGGGGGATCTCTGGCCAGGGTTCCCCGTCTCTGCCTCTGGGAGCTCCACACCTTCTCCCTCTGCACCTCGCTCTGAGTTTCCCCAGCCCAGGTACCTAAAGCGCTGCTCCCGCCCCCCTGGTGTCCCTCCCGGGTCCCTCCCTCCTGGGTCCCTCCCTCCTACCCCCCATCCCCGAGGCCGGGAAGCCCCGCCCGAGACGGGAGCGAAGACAGCAGGTCCGGGCGCCTTCCCCACTTGCCTGGGACCCTCGGCGTCCAGGAGCGCTCCTCTCCCCCTCTCCTCTCTCTCCTCTCCCCCTCCCTCTTCCCCTCCCCTTCCCCCTCTCAGGGTGCGTGCAGGTTCTATGGGGGTGTGTGGAGAGGACCCTAAGGAAGGAGCTACAGGACCCTCTCCCGAGCCGCTCTACCCGGGACACTCACTCACAAGCACCCTTAACGGAAACGCGCGCCCTCCCTCCGCCCAGGCACTAGCCACTGGGCAGACACGCGGGTACCCTCTCCTCTCAGATCCTCACCCCTGCGCCCCCGGCCTGGCGGAGGACGTGCGGCTCCTGCCCTGCGCCCTCCAGACAGCGGGATGGTGGACACTCAGCCCGGACAGGCAGGGGCAGCTGGCGTCTGGGGAAGAAGGCAGCTGCGCCCCGGTCCCAGCCTGTCCCTCTCTCCTCCCCCTTCTTCCCCTAAGACCCCCCGGCCCGGGCTCGCAGGAGCCATCGCGGCGCGATGGAATTCCCCAGCTGTACCCCCGGCCCCCGGCGAGGGAGGGGGAGCCAACAGGCCCGGGCAGGCGCGGGGGGGAAATTCCCCGCCCCCTCCCCCCGGGCCCAGCTCCTCGGAGTCCTCTGATCTTCCAGCGCCGCCCGCCGGCTGCCCCCAGGGCTTGGGGGGCGGCCAGCGCAGGTGCGTTGGAGGGTGAGGGAGGGGACAGGGAGGAGATGGGTGGTGGCTGGAGGCTCAGAGCGATCCGCCCCTCCCAGAACCCTAGCCCCTCAGGCTAGCCACCCAGCCCCTCACCCGGTCCACACCAGGCTATCCATCCTGGGAGGACCTGTCTCCACTTGGTGAGTAGCGCCACCACCTCTCCTCCCCCTCCCACCCCCCCACCCCAAGATGGGGGGTGCAGGGAAGATTCTAGAAAGGCCAAGATGCAGCTTGTCTGTGATGAGACAGGAGACCTCACAGTTAATGTCTCCCACTCATGCAGGCTCTTGGGTGGGTGGGTGGGTGGGCGGGTGGCACACAGGGGAGCACTCAAAGGAGGAGGGCTTGCCAAGGGGCAAGGCTGGCACCAGAGCTGCCTCCTGAGGAGCCCGGTCAGCAGCCAGGCTGGCCAGGGCTCCCTCCTAGTTTCAGGCACTTGACTAGGAGTTTGGTAACTGGTGACTCAGTAGCCGGCCACCCGTGGCCTGGATCTCCTTCCTGCCTATGAGCACCGCCAGTCACTGCAAAGGCTCGGTGGCATCACAGAGAGCACCCCAGGCCAGGGCGATGGGGGTGCTCCGAGAGCCTCCCCACCTACTGCCACAGCCTCCTGTCGAGGAGAGTGAGTGTGGGACGGGACAGCCAGGTGCCCGTGTGAAGAGTGGGGCCAGTGGGGGGTTAGAGGAGGAACTGGTCCCTTCCATGAAGGGAGGTTGGACCAAAAAAGACTGTCCATTTGGTCCCCAGCACTTCCATCGCCCACTCCACTCCCTACTGCCTCAGTCTCCTGCAAAAAGTGGCGGGGGGTGGGGGGAGGATGAGAGGAAGCAGGTGCTCAGTCCCAGGACTCAGGCTCTGAGAGGAGGCTCATGGACGCCCCAGCAAAGGAAGGCCAGGGCCCTTGACCCTGCTGAGGGGACCCACAGACCGAGGAATTAAACAACAGAAATGGATTGTTTTTCAGTCTGGAGGCTAGAAGTCTTTTGAGAGCTGTGAGGGAGCATCTGTTCCATCTCTCGGGACTGGCTTTGGCGGTTTGCTGGCCATCGTTGCCATTCCTTGGCTCTCGGGAGCATCAATAGCCCTGACCTCTGCCTTCATCTCCACACGGCATTCTTCCTGTGTGATGTTTGTGCCCAAACTCCCCCTTTTATAAAGATGCCACTCATATTGGATTAGGGCTTTTCCTGCTCCAGGATGACCTCGTCTTAATTACAACTGCTACGGCCTAATGGCTGAGTTGTATGCTATGTGGACTATCTAAAAGCCTAAGTGACCGAGCGACCAGACAACTGGTTGCTATGACGTGCACTGACCACCAGGGAGGGGGCAGATGCTCAACGCAGGAGCTGTCCCCTGGTGGTCAGTGCTCTCCCACAGCAGGAGCGCTGCTCAGCTGACCTTCAGGTGCCAGGTGCTGGGCGGCAGCTGCAATGGGGCCTGGATGAGCTGGAGTAGCATAGCGCCCAGCCAGGGCTCTGGCTTCTCAACAGCCACCTGCCCCTTAGGGCACTACTACATCCTTTGGGGGGTGTTGGACTGCCGGTTTCGGCCAATCCCCACAGAGCCTGGCCTGCAGGGATAGAGTCTACACTGGCAGTCTGATATCCCGAGGGGTCTGGATGGCTAGAGGGTGCAGGCCAGGCTGAGGGGCCCCATGGGTGCATGAATCCATGCGCTGGGCCTCTAGTATTTCGATAAAGCCTTTACTAAACAAAACAAAAACAGGCAGGATGGCACTGATGGACACAACTGATGGGACATTGGGACAGGCAGGACCATATCAAGACCAAGGCTCTGGGTTCTACTTGTGTCCTGGGGCCTTCAGGTGAGGAGGACAGCAGGTAGACACTCCCTTTGGCTGCCTGCCTCTGTGCTCACCAGACACCCAGGGCCAGAGCCCTGGAGGCAGCAGGACACACAGGCTGGGTTGCAGAAAGGAGGGCCGAGCTGGTGCTGCAGACCGACAAACCATGAACCTTGGAAGTGGTCCAGTTTCCAGAACACCAACCTCCAGGCTTACAGGCTGGGTGGAGGGGCAGAGAACCCCTTTAGGGAGCTGGGAGGGAATGCAGGGATTGGGTGGTGAGCCCAGAGGAGGGATCAAGGAGGAGATGGTCAGTGCCAGAGGGCGAGCTCTGAGAAGCACCCGCTGACTTTAGTGAAAAGGAGGTCCTTAGCTCCACCCCACAGAAGTCCTCCTGACAGAGGACGCGGGGACGGGAGGCTGGGCTGGGGCCAGAAGGGGGCGTGCGGTCTTGAGAAACATTTCTATGACGCTCTCCTTACAACCTTGGGGACAGGGACTGTCCTACAGCCAGCCACTGAGCCCCACTTTTAAAATTTGAGTTCCTTGTTGATAATTTCACTAATCCTTGGGAATTTTTTTACTTTAAATTTTATAATTGAGACATCGATGCGAACTGTCATGCAAAGGGGCACAGACACACCACCCACACCACATGGTGCAGCCATAATGGAATAAGGTTTATTGGCGGAATCTAGCAGCAGAGTGGGAGAAGGGAGGAAAAGCACAATTCCTATGAGATGCCGCTGTGTGTGGAGGGAACACCAGCTTCGAGAGAGGGATCCGCCCAGTGCACTGGGCTCTGTGACAGCGATGGGGCAAGGGACATCTCTGGCTTCAGAGCCATGGAGGAAGTGGACTTAGAAGACACTTCTGGAGTTCAGTAGCTAACTGAACAAGCTGATGGGACTGTGCAAATTTATGTCCGTCTGGCATCCTCAGTCTGAGCTACATGGACCATCCGTCTGTCCTCTAAGGTCAAAGCAGGTGTGGTGAAGAGTGAGTGTACTGCTCCATCGATATGAATGTCCAGGAGAGGCCTGCATCCTCTTTAGATTCTTCTCACACTGCACCCTAGCTTCTGGATGCAGACAGCCCAGCCAAGGTGACAGCGGTGGGGCTTAGGGCTAGGGAAGCCGCCGGCCAAACTCCATTTTCCGACCATGTGCCACTGAGATACGTGGAGGGCGTGGCTTTGATGGCCTCCGTTGTTGCAAAGGGGATGTGGATATACACGCCAGCTCTACATGGTGAGTTATTAAATGGGGTTTATTGAGGGAAATGAACAAGCAGAGGGGCAGGGGGGACACTGAGATGTCACTGTCCCATGGTTGGGTGGCAGGCTCCGTGGCCAGCTTGCCAGGAGAGAGCCAGAGAGCCTGCCGCTTGTGCTCCCTCTGCAATTACAGGATGAGGGCCTGGAGCCCTGCTGTCAAAGCCACGTCCTTTTAAGCAAGCAGCAGCCCTGCCTCCCCTGGACCGGCTGGGCCAGCTCTCTGCCGTGACAGGCTGCAGAAAGATGCACCTCTGCTGCGCCCAGCTCTGCTCTCCTCCTGCCTCAGATGTGTGTGTGTGGGTGGCCCAGGGCACTGCGGCCTCAGGCAGACGCAGTGTCCATGCTGACTTCCTGTGGACATCGGGCTGGCTCCCACGGCCAGAAACGACCCCTGCCATGGGGATAATGGACATTGGGTTTAACTTGGAAAAACAGCGAGGGAAAAAGTCTGACAGTGTGTCGTGGGGCCTCTGGTTTGGCCGCTCTGTAACTGTGAGGGATGGCTGCGCTCCAGCAGCAGGTGGCCCCGGGGCACAAAGGCCCACGTGGCACCTGCCCAGAAAACACCTGAGTGGCCGGAGCTAGGCAGGGCAGTTCAGCTAAGCTCCAAAAATCAACAAGTTCCCCAAACGTGCCCTGGCTAAAGCAGGGCCACACCCAACTAGAAAGTCCTTGGCAAGGTCTCACGCTCTGGAATCAGATAGGTGTTTGTGGCTCGGGGCGGCGGAACAGGGAAGACTTTGTGAGAAGATGCTTCTTCAGATCTTGCGGAGGCCGGGCCTGCCCCACATCACGCACGCCTTCAAGCTGCCAGCTCCTGGCACTCGTTTGCCTGCCTGAAGACACCATCGGAGTGTTCCTCCTGGGAGGCCTCTGGAGGGGTGTGATGGCTGTTGATGTTTGAAAGAGTGGAAAAGAGCGTTTCTCCAGCAGCAGCTAATTTGGTGGGAAATGCCGGGGTCCTTGATGCTGGCGACACCCGTGGGAAAGGAGACTGGCCTCACTGAGACTCCCTGTTGGGGTTTACGCGATTACAAAGAAACACATGTTTATTATGAAAATGCAAACATTGCAGAAACAGATAACACAGAAAGGTAAGGATTCCTGTAATACTTTTCCTTAGAGAAAAGCCATCAACTAGACCATTTCTATACACCATATATCATATATGCATACATCATATCAATTCCTTTAAAACGTGAGATTGCTCCATGGCCGTAAAACCTGGGAATCCCCGACTTTCTACACCAGCATGTCCTGGGAGGAAACACCGACATGCCTAAGAAGTCCCATGTCCTGCTCTGGAAGTCTCTGGGCCTTTTCAAGACAGACAGTCTTCCTCTATTACTGCGATAGTTTTATTTATTTATTTATTAAATATATTTTATTGATTTTGTACAGAGAGGAAGGGAGAGAGATAGTTGAAACATCGATGAGAGAGTGTCATCGATCAGCTGCCTCTTGCACACCCCCTACTGGGGATATGCCCGCAACCAAGGTACATGCCCTTGACCGGAATTGAACCCAGGACCTTTCAGTCCCCAAGCCAACGCTCTATCCATTGAGCCAAACCGGTTTCGGCATATTACTGCGATAGTTTTAGAAAATGTTTGCAGATTCCTTGGTATTCCTCACTCCAAGAGGAAAAGTGTGATTCCTTTCCCTTGGGTGTGGTGACTGACTTCTAATGAACAGAGTAAAGCAAGAGTGATGGGATGTGACTCTGGTCATAAAACCACATTGGCTCTCTTACCTTTTTTTTTTTTTTTTTTTTTAAAGGAAAACAGCCTGCCTAGCTGGTTTGGCTCAGTGGCTAGAGTGTCAGGCTGTGGACCAAAAAGTCCAGGGTTCAATTCCAGTCAAGGGCACATACACAGGTTGCAGGCATATCAGGGGGGTGGTGCAGGAGGCAGCCAATCAATGGTTCTCTCACATAATGGTTCTCTCACAAGCAGCCTATTGGAAATATAATTGACTGGTCAAATTTGTATTTATTTATGTTATTGATTGAGAGAGAGAGAAAGAGAGAGAGAGAAAGAGAAAGAGAGAGAGAGAGAGAGAGAGAGAGAGAGAGAGAGAGAGAGAGAGAGAGAGAAGGGGGACAGTAGAGAGATTTATTTGTTGTTCCACTTATTTATGCATTCATTGATTGATTCTTGTATGTATGTGCCCTGACCAGGAATGGAACTGGGGATCAAACCAGCAACCTTGATGTATCAGGACAATGCTCTAACCAACTAAGCTACTCAGTCAGGGCTTCCTTTATTTTTTTTTTTCTTCTTTTTTTTTAAGTGACCTAGAATTTTGGCTTTTTAAAATGTTTTTTTTTTTTAATTAATTACAAAGAGAGGGAGAGGAGAGAGAGATAGAAACATAAATGATGAGAGAGAATTATTGATTGGCTGCTTCCTGCATGCCCCCTACTGGGGATGAAGCCTGCAACCAGGGCATGTGCCTTGATTGGGAAGAGAACCATGACCTCCTGGCTCATAAGCTGATGCTCACCCACTGAGCCACACCAGCTGGGCTCTTTGTTTTCCCCCAAACAGCTTTATTAAGTTATAATCATATACCATATAGTTCACTCATTTAAGTACAGAATCTGACAGTTTTAGCAAATTCACAGAGTTGTGCAGCCATTATCATAATTACTTTAGAACATTTTCACTACCACAAAGTCCTCTCCTTCCTCTTCTGTTTTTGGGAGAGTTTGTGAAGGATTGGTGTTAATTCTTTGATTTTTTTTTTTTTTTCATTTTTTTACATTTTTTTGTTTTGTTGAATTTTTGGAGAGAGGAAGGGAACTGACCCAGCAGCCTGTTGGCGCCCAGGACGGCTGGCCAGGGCTTTAAATGTTTTTACTTATTTATTTAAGGCAATATTATTTTATTTCTTAAAATGTTTTTATTTTAGAGAAAGGGAGAGGAAGAGAGAAACAACCTCCCACAAGTCCACAACCCCAGCATGTGCCCTGACTAGGAATGGAACTGGTAATCTTTCGGTGCATGGGACAATGGTCAACCAACTGAGCCACATTGGCCGGCACTCTTTAAATGTTTTTAGAAGTCACCAATGAAGTCATTCATCTGAGTCTGGGCTTTTCTTTATGGGAAGTTTTAAAATGAATAATTTATTCTCTTATTTTAGGCCTATGTAGATTTCCTTGAGTCAGTTTTTTTTTTTTTTTTTAATATATTTTATTGATTTTTCACAGAGAGGAAGAGAGAAGGATAGAGAGTTAGAAACATCGATGAAAGAGAATCATCGATCAGCTGCCTCTTGCACACCCCCTATTGGGGATGTGCCCGCAACCAAGGTACATGCCCTTGCCCGGAATCGAACCCTGAACCTTTCAGTCCGCAGGCTGATGCTCTATCCACTGAGCCAAACCGGTCCTGGCTTGAGTCAGTTTTGGTAGCTTGTCTTTATAGCCTTTTTTTTTTTTTTCATTTAATCTGTTATCTAATTGGTTGGCATGCCATTGCTCATAGTATTCCCTTAAAACCCTTTTTCTTTGAGGTAGATAGTAATGTCCCATCTTTCATTCATAATTTTAAGAATTTGAATTTTCTCTACTTTTAAAAAAATACTTTTTGGGTCAATTTAATTAAAGGTTTGTCAATTTTGTTGATCCTTTCAAAGAATCAAGTTTTGATTTAGTTAATTTTCTATTCTTAAAATATATATATATATATATATATATATATATATATATATATATATAATTGATTTTTTACAGAGAGAAAGGGAGAGGGAGAGAGAGTTAGAAAACTTTGATGAGAAAAAAAAAAAAACATCAATCAATTGCCTCCTGCACACCCCCTACTGGGGATGTATCTGCAACCAAGGTACATGCCCTTGACCAGAATCGAACCTGGGACCCTTCAGTTAGGCTGATGCTCTATCCACTGAGCCAAACCAGTAAGGGCTTAATTTCTATTCTTATCTTTATTATTTCCTTCTACTTTCTTTAGTTTACTGTGTTCTTTTTTGTTTTAAATATATTTTTATTGATTTCAGAGAGGAAAGGAGAAGGAGAGAGAGAGAGACATCAATGATGAGAAAGAATCATCAATCCTGCATGCCTTACACTGGGGTGGAGCCTGTTACCAGGGCATGTACCCTGGTTTGTAGGTTGATGCTCCACTACTGACTGACTCATGCTGGCCAGGCTACTTTGTTCTTTTTCTAGTAATTTAACATGTAACTTTAAGTTATAGAGTTGAGATCTTTCCTTTTTTAATATAAATTTTATAGCTATAAATTTCCCTCTAGGCATTGCTTGGTTGTATCCCATAAGTTTTAGTATGCTGTGTCTACATTTTATTTATTTCAAAGTATTTTCTAATTTCCCTTGTGATTTCTTCTTTGAATCATTGGTTAGTTGGGAGTGTATTGTTTACTTTTCACATATTTGTGAGTTTCCCACATTTCTTTCTAGTTACTGATTTCTGGCTTCACTCCACTGTGGTCAGATGACACACTTTGCATGATTTCAATCCTTTTAAAATTGATGGTGTCTATCCTGGAGAATGTTCTGTATGAGTTTGAGAAGAACTCTGCTATTGTTGCAGTTTTCTTCTTGTTCTGCTCTCACTCACTTTGCGGGAAGATAGCTGACATGTTTGAGGACATTCAAGCAGCCCCGGAGGGCTCCATATGGTGAGAAGCTGAGTCCTGCAGCCCACGGCCATTTAAGTGAACAGGCCATTCTGGAGCGACTTCCTCCAGCCCCACTGGAGCCTTCGGAGGGCTGCAGCCCTGGCTGACATCTCTTCTTCAGCCTGGGAGAGACCCTGATCCAGAACCTCCCAGCCCTGCCTCTCCTGAAATCATGACCCACAGAAACAGTGGGAGACAGTCATTTTAAGCTTCAAAGTTTCGGGTTAATTTGTGACACAGCGTTAGATAACTAGTATAATTACCCATTAATCTGCTGGCTTTCAGAAGAGTAACTCTTGAAGTGCAGTTGAACTTTAGTCAGCAATTTTATCTTTTCTAAGAAAAAAAATTGAAAAGCCAGATTAATCTTTTTTTTCTTGTTGAAGTTGCTAGAGCCAATGACACACACCAGGGGGGTCATCGGGAAGCCCCAAATTACTTGGGCCTGGTGCAATAAGCTACTTGAGATTCTCAGAGACAATCTGCAGTCCTTCTCATCAAAGAGATTGGGAACCAACCAGACATCGAAGATGCCCACGCCTCACCATGCTAAAGGCACTCCATAATGTCTACTTCCTGTTTGAACCTAACTGTGGCTTTCTCTTGGAAATTTCCTTTTTTGTGTTAGGTAGAAATCAAGTTTCTTTTGGTGATTTTATAGAACTTGGGTTCATTTCTGTCTTTTATAAGATAATATTTACATGAATTAATTTGAGACACACACTGCTTTCTAGAGACTGGGATTATATTCCGTTTGTGTATAGAGAACCCATTTCGGTTTACACAGTTCATTATTTGCGAAAGTTTACACGCCTGTGTGTGCATGTGCACACACATTAGTACATTCTTCCGGGTGGTCACTATTTTTTCACCAGATTTTCAATCAGGAAAAATTAAGACCTCTTTTACCGAAACCGGTTTGGCTCAGTGGATAGAGCGTCGGCCTGCGGACTGAAAGGTTCCAGGTTCGATTCCGGTCAAGGGCACGTACCTTGGTTGCGGGCACATTCCCAGTGGGGGTGTGCAAGAGGCAGCTGATCGATGATTCTCTCTCATCGATGTTTCTAACTCTCTATCCCTCTCTCTGCCTCTCTGTAAAAAAAAAAATCAATAAAATATATTTTTAAAAAAATTAACATCTCTTTCGATAAAAGAGAAAATTGTAGTTTGTAAGGACGGGACAGATTTAGGTGTATTTTCAGGTTCAGGAGAAGAAGCCAATAGAGAGGGTAGAAAATTCTGGAAAGGCAGAAAGGCCCTGGCAGATAGTGCCTCTCCCCCAAGGTGTCTGAACTTTGGTCTGGCAGAGACCAAAACCGCACAGGTCTTTCAATCCTTCTGCACGCGCCCCCCCCTCCCCCCCCCCCCCACACACACTATCGGTACCTGGGTCCTCCTTCTGGGCTGCAGCGGGAAGCCTCTCGCGCCGCCTCAGGGCCTCCAGGCCCACCAGGTCAGGCATGTGGCAGTGGGCGCGCATCACCGTCACCTGCTGGTCCTGGGTGATGGCCCGGCTGCGGCAGCCCAGCCGGGCCTGGTCCCGGCACATCCAGTACACCTTCTCCCCGGCAGCCTTCTCCTTCCTGTAGAGGAAGCACTCGTGCACCAGGAACTTGCCCCCGAGGGGCGTCTTCAGGAACTCCAGAGGCTGGGGGGGCCCTAGAAGGAATGCCATGCGGTGAGAAGGGTGCCTGGGCCGGGCCTCGGAAACAGAGAGGAGCCCGGTGCCAGAGACGGAAGCCGTTTCCTCTTTCCCACCAGCCTGCGCCCCTGGGAACTGTCATCCCCCTGCAGGGCCACGCTGGTCCCTGCGCTCTACCCGTCTGGGCCGCGGGGGCCTGGGCTGAAGCTCGGGTCACCAGCCGGACTCCTTCCAGCGGGACTGGCTGTCTCTAAGGGCTCTGGCGCTGCCCAGCGAGGCTGGCTCTGCAGCCAGCCAAACCCCGAGTCTCCTGCTCGCCTCTCCTGACTGGGCTTGGACTCCACACTTGATGGCAAGTGCCTTGAGCTGGAACATTCTGGAGGGGCTGAGCTGGAACATTCTGGAGGGGCTGAGCTGGAACATTCTGGGAGGGGCTGAGCTGGAACATTCTGGGAGGCCCATTGCTTGTCTGAACCCTGTGCACCAGGGCCCTCCCAGCTCCCTGTCCACCTCCCTTTGGCCAGCTGGCAACCAATCAACTCTCTGTCTCTTAAGACTTTTAAGAACCTTTAGCTGAGGTTGGGGTGGCCAAAGAGAATTGGGAGGGGGGGGGTTGGGGAGGGAGAGAGAGAGAGAGAGAGAGAGAGAGAGAGAGAGAGAGAGAGAGAGAGGAAACAAGAGAGGCCCAGAGAGGGGAAACAAAGGGTCTCCAAGGTGCAGGCACATTGCCTCACACATGGGTGCCGAGCACAATACTGCCACCCTGGCCCACCGGCATTCCTCCAGGGGTCTGAGCTGGTTTCTCTTACTGACAGCCCATCTCAGACTGGGCCCCTCAACATGAGCGGGGAACCCAGATGTAGCCTCTGCCCTCAGGGAACTCAGCAGATGGACAGACTGACATGCATGGCGGGACCACACTGGACATGGGCCGTGGATGGGAGGCCCTAGCAGGCAGTTCAGCCTGTGTCTTGGGGCTGGCCCAGGGGCTGCCAGGCCAGGGGGAGGCCAGGGGGAGACCAGGGCCCAGCGCCCGCCCACACCTGAGCCTTCCCGCGGGACTTGGGTGGGGAACGGCTCCCGCTGCTTCAGGGCCTCCAGGCCCCCCAGGTCCGGCGGGTGGCAGTGCCTGCGCATCACCATCACCCGCTGGCCCTGCGTGATGGCCCGGCTGCGGCAGCTCAGGCGGGCCTGGTCCCGGCACGTCCAGTACACCTTGTCGCCCGTGGCCTTCTCCCGCCTGTAGATGAAGGACTCGTGCACCAGGAAGCTGCCCCCCAGAGGGGTCCTCAGGAACTCAGTGTCTTCTGGGGAGAAACGGGGGAGCAGTCAGGGGAGGGAGAGCCCGGAGCCCAGGCCTTGGAGCAGAGCAATGAGGAGGGTAGGGGCCCTGTTCCCAGACCCAGGACAACATGGTTCACGGAGTGACCTCCACAAGCTCCACCCCAAGCTGTATCCACTTCCTCCCACTGGAGGGCCCTGGAGCCCAGGACACAGACACCCACCCCACCCGCCTCAAACCCAGCTTGGCTCAGCTCCCAGGGGCCCCTTTCCAAAGCCTGGCCGGGAGGGGAGAGGAGAGGCTGGTGAGGTGGAGGCCCCTGAAGGCAGAGGCTGTCCCTCCATCTCATGGTGCCTCCAGGAAAGGGCGTCTTTGCTCCCTCTCCTAGCTTATCCCAGGGGCTGCAATGGGTGCACACTGGCCATCAGTCCCTGCAGAGGGGGAGGGACAATGGAGGGCCACTCGGGGGACAAGTAATCAGAGTACAATAGGCAGAGTGTGACACACACAGCCGACACTCCAGGGAGCCAGGCCGGGTGGGGATTCGACCCCAGGGCAGCAGGAGGAGGCAAGCCACAGTGTGAACGTGTTGGATGTGTTGAGACGGAGGTAGCTAAACCCTCTGCCCAGAGAGCTCCCTTCCCTCTGTCCAGGGACAGGGACCAGGCAGAGGAGCTGAAGACAGACCGCCTGTTTCCCCACCACAGAACGCCCTGGAGAGAGGTGGGGTGTCTGGATGTGGCTAGGTGACCTCAGAGCATGTTTCTGTTCCTCTGGCACCAGACGAAAGTGTGCCCTGAGGAAGGAAGGACCACCAGGACAGAGACTGGGGAAGGGGAGGAGAAGGCCACGGAGCAGAGACGCTGACAGAATGGTAGAGGCTGGGGAAAGCGGTGGGGCAGGGGCGTTTGATCACAGACTGGGCAAACCAGCCTGCAGGGGGAGCCACTGACAACAGTCCAGGGGCCGAGGCTGGGCGGCTGGGCTCCCTCTGAAGGTGGGTCCAGGGCAGCCCCACGCAGGGGGCCTGTGTGTGGGTTGTTTGTATGAAGAACAACGATAACGGTATCAGCGCTGGGGAGGAGGAATCCTTGGGGTGGGAAGAAGGAAGTGGCATTCTGCATCAGCTGCCACCTGCATGTCCCCTACTAGGGACCAAGACCGTGACCCTGGCACATGCCCTTGACTGGAATCGAACCTGGGACCTTTCAGTCCGAAGGCCGACACTATCCACCGAGCCAAACCAGCCAGGGCTCCTCTATGAACTCTTAAGAGAGAAAAGGGAGGAGGAAGAGGAAAGGAAGCCTGGGCTGATCATGTGCTGTGGAGATTTGGGGGCAGCTTGGGCTGGTCTAAGCAGGAGGGTGAGGACGTCCACCTGAGTGAGTGGGACTACCCAGAGTCACCCTGAGTCTGGCCAGGGAATGTGGTGAGGTGGTGGGGGAGGAGTGGAGGCAAGGGAAGGGGAAAGCAAGGGGAGGGCCGTGCTGCTTCCAGAGGGCTCCTGGTAAGGTACGGAGGGTGCTTACTAAGGGTCACGGGGGTCAAAATGGAAAGGCTGGCTGAGCCCTGCCGGTCCCAAGCCTGCCCCCATCTCTTACCCGCGTTCCCCCTCTGGCTGGCACCAGGGCGCTTCTCCCGCTGCCTCAGGGTCTCCAGGCCCGACAGGTCCGGCGGGTGGCAGTGGCCTCGCATCACGGTCACCTTCTGGCCCTGCGTGATGGCCCGGCTGCGGCAGCGCATGCGGGCCTGGTCCCGGCACGTCCAGTACACCTTGTTGCCAGAGGCCTTCTCCCGCCTGTAGAGGAAGGACTCGTGCACCAGGAAGCTGCCCCCCAGAGGGGTCCTCAGGAACTCAGGGCCTCCTGAGAAATGAGGTAGGTGGTCAGCCAAGACTGAGCCAGGCCTGATTGCTCCCCTGCCTCCCCTCCCACCCCGCCTCCCGGCCCTCAGGATGTCAGACGTGAGGGGGCCCCAGCTCTGGTCGGTGGGCATGAAGGACTCACCCCGGCCCCTTTCCTGGTCCCTGGTGGGAGGTTCCTGCAGGGCCTGTGGCTTCGCGTGCTTCTTGGGACGGGGCCTGGTGAGGGTCAGGGTGCCGGACCCCCTGTGGTACAGCAGGCTGTCCACCCCTTGGAGCAGCTTGTCCCTGGGCCTGGGCCTGGGCCTCTGTGTCTCCAGGATCTTCTCCTGCTGCCGCCGGGCCTGCAGGGCCTCCTTGTCGGGCGGATGGCAGTGGCCACGCATCACGGTCACTCGCTGGCCCTGGGTGATGGCCCGGCTGCGGCAGCCATGGAGCACGTGGTCTCGGCACGTCCAGTACACCTTGTCTCCCACCGCCTTCTCTCGCTTGTACAGGAACGACTTGTGCACCAGGAAGCTGCCCCCATAGCAGGTCTTCAGGAACTCGAAGGGCGGGCGCTCTGTGGAGAAGGAACCAGCGGTCACAGGGTCAGAAGGGTCAGAGGGGCGGTCAGGCAGTGCTGCCAGTGGAATGTGTGGCCAGGCGTCCTCTCCAAATGCATCCCACGGAACCCCCACCCAGCAACTCAAGGGGGCGCTGCAGTTCCTCTTCTGGTGGTCAGAGAGGCGGCCTCAACCAAGATCACACGGTCCAAGCTGGCTCTGACTCCACAGCCTATGCCCTCACTCACGCCAGGCCATACTTTTCCTTAGGGTTTATTTGAAAATATTATCTAATTTTTAAAAATTCAATAAATCTTTATTACTCAGATTACAATTGTTTCTCTCCCCCCCACCCAGCTCCCTTCCACTTGGTTCCCACCCCACCCTCTGCCCTTACCCTCCCCCCACCATTGTCCTCATCCATAGGTGTATGATTTTATTCCATTCTCTTCCTGCACCCCCCACAGCCCTTTCCCCATGATAATTATCAATCCACTCCCTTTCTTTGCTTCTGATTCTATTATATTCACCAGTTTATTCTGTTCCTCAGATTTTTGATTCACTTGACTTTTAGATTCACTTGTTGATATATATGTATTTGCTGATCATAATTTTTATCTTTACTTTTTTCTTCTTCTTCCTCTTCTTAAAGAATAACCTTTCAGCATTTCACACAATACTGATTTGGTGGTGATGAACTCCTTTAGCTTTTTCTTATCTGTGAAGCTCTTTATCTGCCCTCAATTCTGAATGATAACTTTGCTGGGTAGAGTAATCTTGGTTGTAGGTTCTTGCTATTCATCTCTTTGAATATTTCTTGCCACTTCCATCTGGCCTGCATATCTTTTGTTGAAAACTCAGCTGATAGTAGTATGGGTGCTCCCTTATAGGTAACTGTTTATCTCTTGCTGCTTGTAAGATTCTCTCTTAGCCTTTTGCCCTTGGCATTTTAGTTATGATGTGTCTTGGTGTGGTCCTCTTTGGATTCCTTTTGTTTGGAATTCTGTGTGCTTTCTGGATTTTTTTAGAAAGAAAGAAAGTCTATTTCTTTCACCAGATGGGGGAAGTTTTCTGACATTATTTCTTCAAATAGGTTTTCAGTATCTTGCACTCTTTCTTCTTTTGGCACCCCCATAATTCTGATGTTGGTATTCTTGAAGTTGTCCCAGAGGCTCCTTACACTATCTTCAACTTTCTGGATTCTCTTCTCTTCTTGCTTCTCTGGAGGAGTGTTTTTTGCTTGCTGCTTTGTATTCCAAATCTTTGACTTGATTCTTGCGATCTTCTAGTCTGCTGTTGGGTCTCTGTATTTTTTATTTCAGTCAGTGTATGTTTAATTTCTAGTTGGTCCTTTTTCATATCCTCGAGGGTCTCATGAAATTTATTGGCCTTTTCTAGGAAATTCTTGAAAAACCTTATAACCATGTTTTGAACTCGATATTCAGTCTTTTGTTCTCCTCCATTTCTTTCGTTTGAGATCTGTTTCCTTATCTCGGCATTTTCACTGCTTCCCAGAGTTGGTAGGATGGCTTTGTTTGTTTGGTGTCCTATATGGGCCGGTGGGTCAGCCTCGCCAGTCACCTGAGGTAGACACTCTTGGTGCTCCCCTTTGTGGATTAAGTGTACAGCCTTGTTGTAGTTAAGTCTTGATTGTTGTTGGTATCACTGGGAGGAATTGACCTCCAGGCCAATTGGACGTGAGTATCAGCTGTGTCTACTCTGGGATACCTTCTGTCTTATAGGATTAGACTTGCAAACTTGCAAATGCCTCTGAGCTCAGCTTGGACGGGGCGGAGTCTCAGGGCTGAGCTGACAGTCTTGGCTTCCCGCCAGTCCTGCCCTTGTGCATGCGCCTCAGACTTCTGCCTTCTGCACTCCCCTGAGTTTCCACCTGACAGTCCAGATTCCCCCTGTAAGAGCGTGGGTGCTCCAGGGGCTCGCCCGGAACTGGGTTTTAGTGCTCAGTGCAGTCGGAACTGGGATTCAGTGCAGTCAATAGCTTCCGACTGCTTCCACTATGGAGAGACTCCAGCTACCTCTCTGTGCGCACTCACTCGCACGCAACTCTAGGCCCTGCCCACTGCAGCTCCCAGCTCCCCAAAGTCTCTCAGTCTCTGAATCTCCATGTGCCTTTCTCTACAGTCCAGATTCCACCCATATGAACCTGGGTCCACGGGGTTTCGCCTGGGGCTGGGGTTCAGTGCAGCCGGGGGCTTCCTTTCCCCTCCCACCAGCCAGACACTCGGCTGCCCTTCCTCTCTGTGCATGCGTCTCCCTACCTCAGCGCTTTGTGGCTCCCCTGATTCATGAGCCTCTTTCCTTCTTTCTAGTTGTAGATTTTCCCACTCTGCCAACTTTCCTGTGGTTTTGGATGATGTCCGTTCTGTCTTTTAGTTGTTGTTTTGAGATTGTTGTATGAGGTGGCAGCTTAGGCGCTTACCTAGGCCACCATCTTGGTTTTTTCAATATTATCTAATTTTTGATTTATACTTGCACATGCCATAAAATACAAATACATAAAATACACAATGAAAAACAAGCCCCTCTCTCTCGCCCTGCCCCAGGGACTCAGAACAGCAGTTGTTTGAACAGCAGTTAACGCCTTTCCAGGTTAGGAGGCACCCAGCCTTTGGGCCCAAGCCCTCCACCGAGTTGTGGGTAATAAAAACTGCACGAAAGTTCAGTCTACAAGTTCCTCAGAGCCACCATATGCTGGGCCAGTGCTGAGCACTGCCCACATGTCAAACACCTAATCGCCCTGATATTTAGACTATGATCCATCTTAGGACAAAGCCCCCAAAACTGCAGAAATTCAGCAAATGTTCTGAGGCTACCCAGCTACATGAGATGGGGCTGGAACTTGAACCTGGGACCCAGAGCTCAACATTCTCCCACCAGGCTGACCTTCCCTAACTACCCAGGTTGCCAGAATCCCATGGAGCCCATTAAATCTCATGATTCGGGCCTCATACCAGACCCTGCTATGTCAGAAAATTCTGCACGGACTTGGGTCGTCTTGGCTTAGGACCGTGGTCGGCAAACTGTGGCTCGCGAGCCACGAGTGGCTCTTTGGCGCCTTGAGTGTGGCTCTTCCACAAAATACCATGGCCTGGGCGAGTCTATGTTGAAGAAGGGGCGTTAGAAGAAGTTTAAGTTTAAAAAATTTGGCTCTCAGAAGAACTTTCTATCGTCGTGCTGTTGATATTTGGCTCTGCTGACTAATGAGTGAGTTTGCTGACCACTGGTTTAGGAGCTCTGCTTCTCTCCTATGAGCTTAAGGACTACGGGGACACGTGAATATTTTAAAAAGTCGTTTTAACTTGGAACACGTTCTATAAGCATGTAGGACCTCACATTTCTATTTGGGCATAGAAAGGGCCCCGGTGCATGCCTGTCCCAGAGTGGAGTCGGGGCAGGGAGACACTCACCAATCATCAGTAGTCGGCGTTTCTTGAGAGGCAAGCTCCTGAGAGGCAAGGTCAGCAGGGTCACGCTTCGATTCAAGAAGTACGGCTCAGGGTCAGGCTCCTCCGGCTCCTCGGGGGTCGGCACTGGGCCTGCCTCCGTGAGGGGCTCCTCCCCCTGGCCTCCGGGAGCCTGGGGGTCCCCCGGGCCTTCGGGCGGGCGCAGCAGCTTCTGTTTCAGGCGCCGGGCCTCCAGGCTCTTCTCGTCCGGGGCGTGGCAGTGGCCCCGCATCACAGTGGCCCGCCCGCCCCGGGTGATGGCCCGGCCGCGGCAGCCCAGCTCCGTGTGCTCGCGGCACTTCCAGTACACCTTGTCCCCCATGGCCTTCTCCTGCTTGTACAGGAAGGAGTCCAGCACCAGGAGGCGGCCCCCGAACGGGGTCCTCAGGAACTCCAGGGGCTTGGGGGCCGCTGAGGGCAAGGGGAGGGCTGGGTTAGCTGACAGGGAGGAAACAGGACACTGGGTACATGGATGGGAGGGTTGGGGGGAGCGAGGTTGGACAGGGATGAAGAACATACCAGCCGGGGACAGGTTTGTAATTAGAGACAAGGAGGCTTGGCTCGGGGCAGGGATGGGACGGCCAAAGTCACCCCACCCCGAGCATGCAGGGTCAGGGTCAGCAGGCCGGGGGCTCACCGGTGTCGGGCTGGCTGCGTTTCTGCTCCAGGGCCTGGGGGCTTGGCTGGACGGGCGCCTCCTGCTCCTCGGCCGGCAGGGCCCCGCCCAGGGTGTTGGGGCCAGGCATCTCCAGGGTCATGTGCACGTCTTTGGCCAGGGAGACCACGCCATTTTCGTCCCCACTGCAGATCGTCACCAGGACCAGATTGAAGTATTCGTTGGAGTCGTTGGAGTCGTTGGGGTCGTTGGGGTCGGTGGGGTCTGCGGGGACGGCATCTGTGCCGGCCTCAGGGGACGGCTCCTGGCCGGTCTTCATCCTCTCACTCTCCTGCTCGCTGGGCTCAGGCAGGGGCATTCTGGGACCAACGGCCCGTCCCCCAGGCCACACTCAGGCCCGAGTCGTTGGATTTCTCCTCCCTGTCCCAGGCGAGGAAGCTGGCAGTCCAGACAGGAAGGTGTCTGTCCTAAGGGAGGAGGAGAACCCCCGTCAGCGGAGAGGCCTGGGCTCAGGGGAGCGGATCGGGGGGCAGGCAGGGCAGTGAGGCACTAGGCTAGGCAAGGACCCGAATGGAGCTGGAGAAACCCAGGCTGGTGCTTCTGCTTGGCCAGTTCCTCCCTTGGCGACAGTGAATATGTCACCGCCCTCATTCAAACCTCACTTTCTCCACATGTGAATGTGCCAAATACAAGGCTCTTGGGGGGAGAGGGGAGAGGGTGGTTTGGGAGGGACTGTCTGGGCACTAAGATACTGGTAACTGTGAGTCACTGTGAACTGAGGCCCACAGGGCGACGTGTTCATGTTTGGTTTTTTTTCCATTTAAGCTCCTGCCCCATGTTATGAAAGTCCGCCATTCTCACCGACCCAGGTTACAGGTGAGGACACGGAGCTGCCAGGGCGGCCAGCACAGCCAGGGAGCGGCAGAGCTGGGAGCCGGCTGGGGAGGAGCTGGAGCCCACCCCCCACGGCGCCCGGCACGCCGTGTCCAGGGTGACAGTCACTGGCGCTCCTGAGCACCAAGCACCAGCAACAAGCACTGGGGACATGAGCTCAGGTCGCCGACCTTCCCAGAGTTCCCAGCGCCCCTTCGCCCTGACGCTCTGCAGACCACAGAGCTCCTGGCCCTGAGAGGCGGGACTCTGGACTCACAGCTAGATCCCGTGCCCACCCAGGCGGGAGGCGGGCCCCCAGGGCTCAGGAGGTGCCAGGGCCCCCTGAAGGCAGCACCTTGTGCTGGAGCTGGCGCTGGTGCTGCCGCAGCGGGGTGGGACGGCTGTGCGGCTGTCCGGAGGGTCCGTGGTCACTGAGGGCTCCCTGGCTGCTGGCCTGGAGAAGCAGAAAGAATGGACGATGGGACTGGGGTGTCCGGGAGACCCGGGAAGGGACATCAGTGTGGGGGCACTGGGGTGGTGGGCACATTGTGGGTCTTTCCCATTTCAGTCCAGAGACAAGACTGCCACCTCGCCTCACATTCCAGCTTCCCCACTGTGAGCGGTCATCCCAACCCGAGTCCTGTGGTTCCAATCCCTCCTGGTTCCCCTTTCCTACTAGGAGGTTCCCTGGGCCAGTGCTCACATTAGCTCCCCAAGCCCTGGTCGCTCCATGTGTGTGTGTGTGGGGGGGGGGGGGGAAGGGGAAGAGACACAGAGTACCCGCATTCCCCAGGGCTTCCCAAAGCCCTGGTGCTACATGCTTGCCCAGCCTCGGGCAGCAGCAAAGCCCGGTCCGGATGGGCGAGACCCCGGAAAACAAATCCTCCAGGAACCAGGACATCTGGTAGGAGTCCCTGCCTAACCTGCGTCACCCTCACCCCTCCCGTCTCCCGGTCCAGCTCCTCCCAGACAAGCCAATCTCCGGTTCTCCCATGTGGGTCTTTTCCGCCCTGTCCATCCTACCCCACAGGCGCTGGGGAAGGGGGGGAGGGGGAAGGGGGGAGGGGAGGAGAGAGGAGAAGGGAGGAGGAGGGGGGAGGAGGCCTGGCGGCAGTTGAGGCCCCGCCCACAGGCCGCCGCTGCGTGTGTGATTGGCTCCCGTGCGAGTCCCTCCGCCCGCACTCCGCCCCTAGGGCTCGGAAGCTCTCGGTCCCTGAAGGAAAGTGGCCCAAATCCTCCCCGTGCCCTCCCCTATGGCCTCCCCACAGGACGGGAGCGCAGAGGAGCTGCCCGCCCTCCACAGGGGCCGTCAGACACCCCGGCCCCGGACGGCGCGCGCACTGCCCGGCCAGCAGGCACGTCCCCCAGGGTGGGCAGGGGGTCCCGCCACGCAGGGGGATGGAGGGAGGCTGCAGGGAGCCCCCACTCCGACGCCTGGGCCTCAGAGGATCAGCCGCAGAGCCCCCTCCTCCAGGCCAGCAGGGGGACATGACAACAAAGACCAATGGGGACGGGGGGGGGGGGGGGGGGGGGCATGGCAAGGACCCTGCGCTCCGGTGGAACCGAGCGCGTTGTCATGGAGCCACTGCAATCCTCTCAACTCCAACTGCGGTTTCAGTCCAGGGCCTCACGTCCCGGAGGAAATGGAAGACAAAAGACCTTGAGCCACGGCTGACCATCGGCCGTGGAAAGGCCTCCAAGGACCAGAATTTAATTGGATTGATAGACGGTTCCCATACCCAACCATTAAAGGCCCTTACACTGTAGGCTGTTTAATGACCACAAATTCTCCCGGAAAGCTATGCAGGCCCTTTGCACTGTGGTCTTGAATCTGGACTGGCCTCCGGCCCAGATTGATCCTCGCCCTGTAACCTGAGTGTGCCAGGCACTCACTGTGGGGGTGGAAAGCCTTGCCCTCCAGGGACATGGCCCTGAGGCTGGGGTGGGGGTGGGGAAGGAGGCGGTAGGAGAGGCCACATGCAGGGACAGGGGCACTGCCAGGAACGGGGGAAGACCATCTTGCACTGCTCAGTCCACCCGCCCTCCAGCTGGTACAGGCACATGAAGGTGCCTGAGAAAACCAGTACAGGCCCAGCTTGGCCACCCCATGATTCAGAATTTTACAGTTTTATCTGTTACCTGATCAACAATAAATTACTGTTATTTAAGCTAGTAAGATCAGAGATCATTTATTACACAGCAGTTCTTGGCAAGTGACTGAACCTCATGGATTTTAGCTTTTTGATGAATAACACTAATGGTTCTGAAATATCTGACATCAAAGCGCTTTTGAACTCCAGGTGCCATGCTACAAAAATGCTAAATCCCTCAGATGATTGCATTAAAGGGCTGGTAATCCAGTAAAAGGAACAAAAATATTAAGTATAAAGGATAGCAAATGAGAATTACATATTGAAAACGTCTAACGTGAAATAAGCCAGTCAAAAAAGGAAAACTATTATATGATTCCACTTATTAGTATATGATGTAGCTAGAATGATCAAAGTTTACAGAGTCAGAAAATAAAATGCTGCCGGGACTGGTTTGGCTCAATGGATAGAGCGTCGGCTTGGGGACTGAAGAGCCCCGGGTTCGATTCCTGTCAAGGGCATGTACCTTGGTTGCGGGCATATCCCCAGTAGGGGGTGTGCAAGAGGCAAATGATCAATGACTCTCTCTCATTGATGTTTCAAACTCTCTATCTCTCTTCCTTCCACTCTGTACAAAAATCAATAAAAAAAAAATATTAAAAAAATGAACTATTATTTAAAAAAAAAAGAAAGAAAAGAAAATGCTGATCTGCTATCTGTGGTGGAATCCTTGCCAATATACAGATTTTTGTGAAAATCCTAACGGGTAAGACCATCACCTTTAAGGTTGAACCCTTGGATACAACAGAAAATTAAAGAACTAGGATGAGGAAGGAATTCCTCCTGGTCATCAAAGACTGGTAAGCAACTAACTGGGAGACGGATGTTCATTGTCTGACTACAGCATTCAGAGAGTCCACTCTTCACCTTGTGTTGAAACTTTATGGTGCTGCTTAGAAAAGGAAGAAGTCTTATGCCACCCCCAAGAAGAAGAAGTGTAAGAAAAAGAAGGTTAAGCTGGCTGTCCTGAAATACTACACAGTGAACAAGAATGGCAAATCAGACCTTTTGCTGGAGTTTTTACAACAGATACAGACATTATTGTAGCAAATGTTGTCTGACCTATTGCTTCCACAAACCAGAAGATAAATAATTATATTTGGGTAAATCAAATATACCAACTAAAAAAAGAGAGAGAGAGAAAGTCAAATGGCAGTTGACAGGGGTGGGGAGATAGGGGATGGGAGTGTTGTGTAACGGATACCGGATGATGTTTGGGATAATACAAAGATGGATGGTGGTTATGGCTGCACAACGTTGTGAAAGTACTTTATGCACTGAACTTTTAAATGATTTAAGCTGTAGGTTTTTTTTGTGTGTGTATCTTTGACCACACATGCCAAAATAAATAAATAAATCTGTAACAAATTATATGTAGTAATGCCCCGTTTACCTAATATCTGATTAAATAAAGGTATCCCTCCATGATTCAGAATTTTACAACTTTATCTGTTTCACAATTTATCCATTTGTGAGAGATATTTTCACAAGGACTTTCTCAGAAAGTCCTCACTTTCTGGAAAAAGAGGATACACACATTTTATCCTGATTGAGAAAATGAAGTGTCTCCATCCCTTTCCTTGGACACATCTCCCTCCCCCCGGGGGCCCTCTCTCCACCAGCATGTTCTGCTCTCTCTGGTCACCAAGTCTCTGTGTCTCTGCATTTGGATGATCAAGGTTTTTAGAGCTCCTGTGTCCTAAAGCAAAACCTGACAAAACCCCCTCCTTAAAACATGAACCAAAATTAATGACTTCATTTTGCAAGAACAGCCACATACCCCTTCCTTTTCACCCTGGTCACCAGTCCCTGAACTCTGCAGACACCATTCTCCTCTCTGGTCACCATGCAGGACCGGCACTGGCTCGCTCCATCCATAAACCATGTTCTCCCTCTGAAACACTTGCTCATGCCTGTATGTGGTCTATCTGTACGATGGAATTTATTCCGCAATAAAGGAACACAGTTCTGGCACACATTTCAATGTGGATGAACCTTGAAAACATGATGCTCCGTGAAAAAAGCCTGCCACAAAAGGTCACATATTATGTGATTCATTCATATGAAATGTCCAGAAAAGACAAACCCATAGAGACAGAAAGCAGATTAGTGGTTTCATAGAACATAGAGGAGGAATCAGGGAATGATGCTAAGGAGTGTGGGGTTCTTTCGTGGGAAATGAAAATGTAAAATGGATTGTAGTGATGGTTGTACTCCACACCACTGCGAATACACTCAAAACATTGAATTGTACACTTTAGATGAGGGAACTGTGTGGTATATAAATCACATCCAAATAAAGCTGTTTAAAAAAAATCCTTATAGGTATGACTCG